AGTGTGTTTCCTTCCTTCTCCTCGTTCCCTCGCTCCTCTCGCTGACTGGCCGCTGACTCGCCGTGCCCTGCAGATCACCCTCGAGGTCGAGTCGTCCGACACGATCGACAACGTCAAGGCCAAGATTCAGGACAAGGAGGGCATCCCGCCCGACCAGCAGCGCTTGATCTTCGCGGGGAAGCAGCTTGAGGACGGACGCACGCTTCAAGATTACAACATTCAAAAGGAATCGACCCTGCACCTCGTTTTGAGGTTGCGCGGTGGAAATGCGTAGCTTTGACGTCGAATCGCAACTTTTGACACCGTTGACCTTTCCGCTGTCCCTCCTTGCCCCATCTCCGCACTCGTCATTCCTTCCGCTGTCGCTGCTTGCTCACTCGCTGCTCCTCTTGCTCGTTGCACGAAGTTGCCTCGATTTGCCTCGAGCTGGCCTCTCCTCCCTTCATCGCTTCATCACTCGGCCCGTCCGCTGCCCGTTCCCCTTTTGTGCTTCGCCCTGGCTCGTTGCACTGTTCGCATCATCCTCCTTACGTCTCGTCGCCGGAGAATCTGCGCGCTCGGCTTCGACGCTCCGCCGCGCTGCTTCGTTCGACTTTCGTCCGCCCTCCGTGGAGGCTTTCCGCTGTCGCTGGAGTAAATGCACGGAATGCGCCGTGTTCGGCTTGCGCTGGCATCGAGCCAGGCGAGATCAGAGCCTCTCGAGGGGGACGAGGGCCAGATCCACTCGAGGGAGGGCCGGTCGGACTTGTTGCCCGCCGCGATCACTGTCCCGCCTGACCGGGCTCGCTCGCGTGGACGGCAAAGGGCGCACTCAAATGGAATGCAGGGACGACGGCGGGCGCAGAGGAGGACGAGCGAGGACGAGCAGTGAGGAGGTCGACGAGGGTGTACGCAGAGAGTGGCCTTCTCAACTGGAGGGGACCGGTTGCGCGCGCTACGACAGGCGTCTAGAGCGGGCCATCGCCGTGCCCCACCGTGCGAGCGACGGCGCCGCTCGAGCCGGGCACCACGCCGCTCGCTGGGTGCCTGCGGCAAGTCGTTCGACCTGTTTTTGGGAGAGGCTCGTCGAGCGAGCGCGGTGGGATTGGCGGCAGCGTCTCGTGGGCTCGGGTCGGGCAATGGGGCTCCTCGGGGAGATTGCACAGAACGACGAGGGTCTCCACTTCGAGCCATTGTCCCCCGCCCGTCCGCTCCTCCTTCTCGCTCTCTCCTCCGCTCCTGCACTTTTTCTAGCGCCGTCCGCGAGTCCACGCCCGCGCTATCCTCCTACCCCGCACGCTACCCCAGACACACCGACCCGCCCACACAAGCTCGAAGCGATGCAGGCCCAGCGTGGACACCTCGACCGTGAGAACGGAGACCTCGAAGTCGGAGTGCGTCGCCGTCGTCGCGTCTGAAAGCTCAAGTAACGTCGTTTCTGACACGCTAGCGACGTGCAACAGGTTGCAGACCTTCTCCAGCAGCGCCCGGACGCGCACCACTCGGCGCCCCTCCCTCAGCCGCCCGCATGGCTCGTCAACTGGGAGCGCAAGCGTCCCGCCCTCCTCGTCGAGTGCCTCGCTGAGGCCATCGGCGTCTTCATGTATGTCTTCCCGGGACTCGGCGCATCCGCCGCTTTCCTCGTCACCACCGTCGCCAAGGAGCCCGGATTCGGCGCTCTCCTCAACATTGGTATCGCCTATGCCCTCGGTATCGTGTGTGCGTTGTGCTTTCCCGCTTCTTTACACTCTTTTCGAGGCCTTACTGACGAGCTGGATCGCTGCAGTCGCTATCGTCGTTGCCGCGCCTACTTCGGGTGGTCACCTCTCGCCTTCCTTCAGTCCGTTGCGCTCCTCCTCCCCCCGCTTCAGGACATCCCCTGACGCTTCTCGCACGGCACAGCCCTCGCTTTCGTCGTCTTCAAGGGCTTCCCGATCCGCAAGGCGCCCTTCTACATGCTTTCGCAAATCCTCGGTGGCTTCGTCGCTGCGCTCGCGGTCTACGGCATCTACAAGCAGCAGCTCGACGCCGTTTCCGCCGGCTTTGTCAAGCTCGGCATCGCACCCGAGATCTTCTCTGCCAGCGGCGTGCGTTGAGCTCCTTACCTTGAACTGGCGAGATGAAACTGACGACTTGCGCCGCTGCAGCCCGCCGGTGTCCTCGCCCTGTTCCCTCAGCCCACTCAGGCGCTCAAGTGGGTCTTCATGAACGAGTTCTTCGCCAACATGTTCCTCGCGATCCTCGTCTTCTCCGTCCTCGACCTCTGCAAGTAAGTCGCCCCGTGCTCTGCCGCTCCTTGACGTCTCACTCACTCCAGCGCCCCCTCAGCTTCTTCGTCTCGATCCCCGTCGCGCCGTTCGTCATCGGTCTCGGCTACTTGTGCATCATCCTCGCGTTCGCCGTCAACTCGGTCGCCCTTAACGCCGCTCGCGACGTTGGTGGTGCGTTTGCTTTGGCTGCCATCGAGTCCGGTAGCAGTGCTGACGCTCTCCTCACACAGGCCGCTTCGCTTGCGGTGTCATCTACGGCTCGAAGTGCTTCACCGCCAACTCGGGCTACACCGCGCTCGCCGCGCTCACGACCTTCCCCGCGACGCTCATCGGCGCGCTCATCCACACGCTGTTCCTCTCCGACACGGCCCGCATGATCGTCAACGCCCCTCCCGCGATGGCCGAGCAGGTCTCGCTCTACAACGAGTCGAGGGGATTCCCGCCTGTTGGACGCTCCATCACCCGCGAGTCGGTCTACCGCGACCAGAACGGCATGCCCCTCAAGGCCTAATCTTCCTACTCCGCCCGCCGTCTCTCATCTCGCATCGTCTGCATGGGTCGGGAGGAGGAGAACGGCGAAGCGTGTCGTAGTTGACGACGGGGGATTGAGAAGGCCTTCCCTTCGTCCTCCTCCCTCGTCGTCGCTACGTCGCTCCCTCGCCACCCTCACTCCCCGCGTTATTTGTTGTCTCTATCTAGTCATGCCTCACACGCACTCGCCTAGGAACTCCTTAAACTATTGTCGTTCACGCTCTGTACCTCGGATCAGCGATCAGCCTCCCTCGAAGCAAATGCAAAATGTCCTTGGCCGCCGGTCCGCCCCTCCGTTCCATTGCGCGAGTCGTTCTCCGGCTGCTCGCTGCCTCGACGACGACGACATCCGCTCGCTCGCTTCGCGCTGAACTTTCTTCGACGAAGTGGAGGCCGACCTTCGAACCCGTTGCATCATGGCTTGTCGCTCGACTGACAGGCTGTGGCGCGCAGCTTGCTCTGCCACACTCACACTGCCTCGCTAGACTCACTCTCTGCCCACTCGCGCACCCACACACGCTCTCGCTCTCGCCATGTCCAAGTCGCTCTTCCTCCTCGGCACAGGCTACATCGGCGGCTCAGTCCTCGTCGCCCTGCTCGACAAGGGCGAATACACGATCAGCGCACTCTGCCGCGATGAGAAGAAGGCGGACAAGTTGCGTGAGATGGGGGTCAGGCCAGTCATGGGCGAGTTGAGCAGCGACGAGGTCATCTCGAAGGAGGCGGCGGCCAGCGACGTGCGTACAAAATCCACTAGGGTCAGAAGAGCCTGGCTGACGACTTGCAGCGCGCAGATCATCATGCACATCGCGACGGCGGACGACCTTCCCTCCGTCAAGAGCATCCTCAAGGGTCTCTCGCAGCGAGACTCGTCCAAGCCGCCCGCCATCTACATTCACACGTCCGGCAGTACGTCATCCAGCTCTCCCGGCCCTATATCAGCTCCTCTGAAGGCGGGTTGACAGCCCTTGATCTCTTTCTCCTCGTCGAACTCGCATTCTAGCCGGCGTCTTGACCGTCCCCACGCACCCTGACGACATCACCTTTAACGACAAAGACCCAGCCAAGTTTGACAAGCTCATTCCCGACCACGCACCTCACCGCGAGATCGACTTGACCATCAAGAGGGCTGTCGAGGAGGGAAAGCTGAATGCGAAGGTCTCGATCGTGCGTGCTCTCAGGTGTCTCCTCCGCGAGAGGTCCAGTCTAATTGGCGTCGGCTTCGCAGATCCTCCCGCCCTGCATCTACGGCATCGGAACTGGGTGCGTTTGCGCAATTCCTTCGAGTCCGCTTCTTCTTCTATCGCGCAACTTCAGCTGACCTCGCTTCTCTCGCAGTCCGTTCAACCAGATCTCGATCCAGATCCCGCGCTGGATCAAGGAGAGCATCAAGGAGGGCAAGGTCATCAACCAGTACGCACTCCGTCGTCCCGCTTGAAGACCGCCGAGCTGACGCTTCTTTCGCCTCGCAGCGGTCCGCAGAACTACTGGCGCAACATTCACGTGCATTGCTCGATGCCGCTTCAAGTAGACATCTCTCTCCCGACCGCTTACCGTCTTCCGCCTCGCCCGCAGATCCGCAACCTCGTCACCGCCTACCTGACGCTCCTCTCGCACCTCGAGCAAACCACCGCCTCTCCACCTCTCTACATCATCGCCGAAACCGGCGGACACCGCTGGGGCGACCTCGGCATCCTCCTCGACAAGCTCCTGAAGGAGCGCGGGCTGATCAAGGGCGAGATGGTTGAAGACCCCGAGGGTTCGACTGAGACGGAGACGGGGACGCAGAGCAGGAGCAAGGCGGAGTGGTTGCATGAGTGGGGGTGGAAGGTCGAGCCTGAGGAAACGATTGAGGAGTCGATGGCGGAGGAGATTGGCTTTATGCGGAAGACGGGTGCCATTTGAGCGGCGTTGCAATCTGTACTAATGATGCCGCCTTGATTGGAGGAGCATCTGGGAGTCTACATAGTTCAGACGAGGCGAGGCTCGTAGAGGGGAGAAGCTTCCTCGCTTCCTGACCCTAGTCAGGCAAAGGCTGATTATAAATGCAATGCCCGCCGGGCTTCCATAGCAAGCTCGGTTGATCTAGTTGGTTATGATGCGGACCTAATACTTTCTGTGTTTAGTCCGATGTCGGCGGTTCGATCCCGCCACTGAGCAGTTTCGTCTTTTTGCTTCCCTTCGCTGCCGCTTCTTTTGCTCCTGTGCTGGCAGGCCTTCTTCCCGAAGTCCTCGACGACTCAGCGCTGTCGCTCGCGGACCTTGCCCTTCCGCATTCCCCGTCCCTCATCACCCTTCACGCTGCTCTCCCTCGTCCCGCTCACTCCCTCTCGCTCACACACGCTCGTGGACCTCGCTACCTGCTCGAAATCCGCCAGAACCGACATGTCTACGTCTACGAACCGTCCGCACCCCGCCCGCCGCGCTGCTGCCTTCGCCGCCTCGACCGCGTCGACCGCTCGAAGCGATGAGGATGGCTCGACTTCTTCTGCTCGCCGGGAAGGCTCGCAAGGTGCGCTACACCCTTCTAGCGGGTCATGAGATCTGGTTGATTCCAGCGCTGACCGGATTCGCCATTCGCAGAGCCATCACCACCACCTCGACTCTGCCTCACGTCTCTTCCGACCGAAGTCCTCAACAACATCTTCTCGCACGTGCCCTACGATGACTCTAGACGATCCATCGAGCAGATTGTGCTCAGCAAGCGATACTTCGCGGTCGCCTACCGTCACTGGATTCGGGAGCTCACGCTCGACGAGAACGACGCCGACATTGTCTACGCCGAGATTGGGACACACGCGGCTTCCGTTCTGGTCAAAGAGATCGATGCCTTCTTTGTGCCGCTCCTGCTGCGTACGCAATGCGCAGTGTTCCGTCATACGCCGAATTTGACGCATCTTGCAGTCGAGGTGCTGGACATCGACAACAAAACTTTGCCGATCTGTTTCTTCGCGGCCTTGCGCACCTTACGCCATCTCGTTCACTTAGAGATCCGCTATGACGACCGAGACGAGCCAGTTGAAGGGTTCTCCTTCGAACGCGACGTACCTTCCCTTCGTATCCTCAAGATCAACGCGGCTGGCAGCCTCGCAGCGTATGGACCTGGTCTATCAAAGCTCACGCACCTCACAATCCCCTCGTCCGACTTCGCCGCTGCCGCAGTTCCGTGGGAGACCTTGCACCACCTCGACATCGGCCTACTCGACGTTGGCGAGACCGAATTCCTCAGCTCTCTCCAGGATACTTGCAAGATTTCGGTATGCCTAAAGCTTGTACATCGAGATGGAGTGAGGGCGCTGATGCGACAGTCTTTTGACGGCTTCACAGGCAATTCCCTTGCGCGGCCTCGCTCTCCACCTCTCCACCGGGACCGTCGACGACTTGCGCTGCATATCCGAGATTCTCCAGACGATCCGAGCTCCAAGTTTGACAGATCTCATCGTCCGCGGCATCAAGTCCTTCGCCGACTGCAAGTCGTGGTCGTTCAGCGCGCGGCTGCCGGGTGTCTCGCATCTCACGCTCGGCGGATCCTCTAACTGTGCTTCGACGGTGGGTCCGGTCTGTCCTTGGACTTCTACCTAACGCTGACCGCTCGCAATGAGCAGGACGCCTTGCGCGGTCTACGAGCCTTCCTCGAAGTCTGTCCCGCTGCGTAAAGCCATCGCCTGACTGGCTTCCAGTACTACCCCGACGATCCTGCCAATCTGCGCCCCGTTCCTTCTGCAGCCAAACAAGCAATCCTCAGCTCCATCCGCGACAGGAATCTCCCTTTCGCCTTCCCGGGAGTTTCCGCCTTGCTTTTCCTCCTCCTGCAGACGAGCATCCTCGACCTCCGACTTGAGATCTCGCACAAGGGCGGCATCCGTTGGCGCAGGGCTGGCTGCAGCGAGGTCTTCGAGGCCGAAGGTTGGACGGTGATCTGAGGGAGAAGTCCGGCACCCTCGCTCGCACGAGTCGTTCAAAGCCTAGAAGCTTCTTCGAGCGGGCAGAAGCGCGGTTGCCACGTACATGAAACCTGTGCGGTTCCTTCCTTTTGCAGTGCTGCCAAGATGGAGAGAAGCGAGAGATGCTGTTGGGTACTAGGTGGAGAGGGAACGATGCGAGCTAAGAGAAGGGAACGAAGAAACCACGGCTGGGAAAGCGAGAGTCGGAAGAAAAGACGGCACATGCCAATACGAGAGTCGACGGCGTCTAGTAGTCGTCGTACTCCTGGTTGCGACGACCGCGGGGCGGGCGAGGGGCGTTGAGCTCGCGGATGATGTCGTAGGCAGAGTCGATGGCGCTCGGCGAGCCGGTGAGCGTGAGCTGGTTCGCATCGCGCTTGCCGACGACGTCGACCTCGACGCCCGTCGCGCGGAGGCGGTCGAGACCAGCTCCGCCGCGTCCGACGATGCGAGGCATCAAGCCACGCGGGACGGTGACCCAGCCGACGTGCGACGCCTGCTGCGCGCGGGCGAGGTTCTTGCGGATGTCCTCCGCAACTTGCTCGGCGTCCTCGGCAGAACGACTCTCGACGACCCAGGGGATGGTCTCGTCAGCGTCGGCTCCGTTCGCGTCGCCCTCGTCGTGCAACGAGACGAGCTGGAAGTCGATGCCGGCCTCCTCCTCGACACCGTTCGAAGCGTCGGCGTCGTCGTCGATGCGGGCGGCAGGGGCGGTGCCGTTCGAGGCGGGTACCGGAGGCTTCTTTGCCTTGAGCGTCGACGAGGGCGGCTTGACACCGCGGTGCGAGACACGGGTGCCGGACGGGAGCGAGCGGAAGAAGCGGCCGCCTTGCGCGACCTGCGCGTGCAGCTTCTTCGGGACGAGAACCTCGACCGAGTGACCGCTGGGCGTGCTCGAGCCGGGAGCGGCGCCTGCACCGCGACCCTTGACAGCCTGCAAGTCGGTAGCGGCCGCGAGCGCAGCCTCCTTGGGGCCGACAACCTTGACGATGTCGCGCTCGTTCGCGTCGGCGAGCTCGTCCTGGTTCTCCGGCTCCCCAGCCTCAGCGTAGTCCTTCCACCCAGGCATCACAACCTTGACGCCGTGCTTGCGCTGGAGCTCCTGGAGAGCCTGCGCGCCACGGCCGATGACGGTCGCGTGGTTCGCGCTCGGGACGACAACACCCCAGACGACGCGGGAGGCTAGCGAGGCGACTTCGGACTCGAGGGCGGCCTTGATCTTGTTGGCGACCGAGGTGGGAGCGGTGATGACGACGGTGTCCTTGGCGTCGCCCTGGCGGGGGAAGCGGACGGTGTTGCCGGACGCACGAGCATCGGTAGGTCCGCCGCAACGAGCAATCAAGTCGCGGATACTGGATCCGCCCGAGCCGATGAGGGTGGTGTGATACTCCCGAGGAATATCGATCTCGATGCGGAGCTCGTCCTGGACCTCCTTTGCAATCTTGTCGATCGCCTCGCGAGCCTTCTTGATGGACGACTTGGTACCGCGAAGCGTGATGGTCGCCGACGTAGCCTCCTTGTCCTCCTGGTCAATGTCGAGCGAGGCGACGCCGGTCTCGTCCTTGATCTGGTTGACCTGCGAGCCGCCACGACCGAGGATGCGCGGGAGAGCCTTGACGGGCACCTCGAACGAGACAGTGTTGCCGTGCTCCTTCTCGTACTCGATCAAGGCAACGAGTTCGCCCTGCGCCGCCTTGGCGCCCTTCGACGGACCGCGGATGGTGATCTCGGACGACGAGGGCGTCGAGGGCGCCGAGTCGGTCGAGTCGCCGCGCCGGCCGTCCTTGGGGAAGTTGATGACGCAGTCGTACTTCTCCTGCAACCGCTTGAGGTACATGCCCTGCTTGCCGATGAGCGATCCGCGGTCGAGCGAGGCGGGAAGGGGAATCGTGAGGGTAACTTCGTCGGCCATCCGGGTGACCAGCGATTTGATGCGCTTGCGGGCCTCCTCGGCGTTCTCCTTGCGACCCTTGACGGTAACCTTGCTCGTCGAGCCCTTCTTCGCTGCGCCGGCCTGGTCGCCAAAGTCGACGCGGACGCCGAGCTCCTCGCGGAGCTTGTTGACGCCCGAGCCAGCCTTGCCGACGATGTGTCGAACGTGCTCTGAGGGGATCTCGAACTCGATGACCTGCGCAAGCGAGCAAGCGAGTCAGCTATCACTCGGCGACAAGGGTAGGGAGCGCGAGCAACTCACATGCGAGTTGACAATCTCCTCGTTCTTGGCATCCTCCGCGATCCGCTGCAGCTCCTTCTTGACGCGCTCGACCTCGTCCTTCGGTCCGCGGATCGTCACCTCATCCTCCTTCGCTCCGGCCGCACCAAACTGCACATGCACGAGCTTGTCCTCCCCAATGACCGCATTGAGCGTCGTTCCTCCCTGTCCAATGACGGCGCCGTGCAAAGCAGCGGGAATCTCGATCGACGTGCTCGTCAAGTCGGCAAACTCGCCTGCGAGCGCCTCGATAGCCTGCTTGACCTGCTCGAGCGCCTGCTTGGCTTCAGGGCCGGCGTAATGCTCGCCCGTGTAGACGAGGAGGACGTCGTCCCTGCCCTGCTCAGAGGGAGGGAAGACAACCTCGACCGAGTGGTCCTTCTCGAACTGGCGGACCTTGGCGCCCTTCTTCCCGATCAAATGGCGGTGAACGAGCGGCTCGACGCGGACGACGTCGAAGACGCCGGGCGGGAGCTTGCGGACTTCGCTGATGACAGCCTGACGAGCCTGTGCGACGCCTGCAACGCCCGTGCCCGACTCGCCCGACGAGCCGACAATCTCGAGCCAGGCGTTTTGCGAGGCGGGGATCGCCTCGAGGCGAGGAAGGTAGATCTGCGTTCCGGACGCGAGGGCGATCGGCCTCAACCGGCTCTTGACGATGAGGAACCTCGCGAGCTGGGCCGCGTAGGTGCGGGGATCGTGCGCCCCGCGGTGGGCGGTAAAGAGGTCGAGCGTCTCGACTGGTGTGGCGGACGCGACATCCATCACGAGCTGCATGGCTTTGACTGTCTCGCGCGCCGGGCCGCGGACGACGACGACTTCTGAGGGGGACTCGGCGGAGGGGACTTCGACGGCGCAGCCGGTTTGGTGGAGGATCTGGTCGGCGATGGCGGAGCCGACGAGGAAGCGGTGCTGGCGCTTCGGGAGGGGGAAGGTGACCGGTCGGACCGTTGCGCGCTGCCACGATCCGTTTTGTCAGCGCCCAACTCTCCGGCGGAAGAAGCGAACTCACAAGCTCAGCGAGCTCTGCCTCGAGCTCTGCCACAGCCTTCTTGACCGCCTCCTTGTCCCCACTCACAACAATCGCCCTCTCCTTCTCCTTCTTCTCGTCCGCGACGGCCTCCTCCCCACTCTCATTGATAACATCCACGCCCCTCCTCCCGACCCACCTACGGGGCACATCAACCCTCACCTCGTCCTTGCTCACTCCCGCACGCTCGAGGACACTCTCGACCCTCGCTCCAAGCAGAGCCCAAAACTCGCTCGGGATATCCGGCAAGCGGGTGGAAGTCTTTGAAGTCCGTTCGCGCACGATGGCGAGGATTTGAGCGCGCGCCGAGTCGACGGCGGATTGCGGGCCTGAGAGGGAGATGGAGATTAGGGGACCGTCGTTCGAGTCGGCGGGGGTGGAGTCGGTAGGGGCGGAGTCGAGCTCGTCGTCGCGGGGGATTTGGACGGAGGCGCCGGTCGAGTCGGTGATGGTCTTGAGAGTACGGCCTGCGGGAACGCGAATTGTCAGCACCCGTTGACGAACAAGAATCCCGAGACCCCGCTCGATCCTGTCGCGCGGCTGAAGGAGAGTGTCTTGCGAGCAACAGAGGCTGCGGAACGCACCCTTTGCGCCGATGATGACGGCCCTGAGCGACTTGGGCACCTGGACCTCCTCCGTAACCTTCTTCTCCAGCCACGCGAGCAGCTCGTTCCTCGCCTTGTCGACCTTCTCCTCCGCCTTGGCTCCCTTGGCCTTGACGATGAACGTCGTGAGGTTGCGACTCGAGCTCGCATCGATCGCGACGCCCTCGATCCGGCGCTGCACTTCCTTGATCACCTCACCGAGGGTGGTGGGCACCTCGCGCCGCTCGTTGGAGAAGCCGCGCGGTCCTTTGTGCGCGTACGAAGCGGGCGGGGAGATCGAGATGGATGCGGTGGGGATCTGCAGCGTCGTCGACGAGACCCCGGCGGCGGCAGCGGGGGTGGACGAGCGCGTGCTCGCGCTCGGAGCGGGAGAGAGGTCCCTCGTCCCGTCTGCGGCGGCGGCGGGAGCCTGTTTGGCGCGGAGAGCGGCGGCGCCAGAGCCCCACAGCGACGAGGGAGCCTTGGACTTTCCGTTGGCGACGGGCGCGCCGAGCGAGGGGAAAGCCGACTCGTCCGAGACGTCGACCTGCGAAGACTTGGCGGTCTTCTGGGGCGCGTCAGGGGCGGGGACGGGCGGCGCGAGGTTGGCGGGAGGGAAGGGGTCGTGGGCGACGAACCCGAACGGCGGGAACGGGTCTTCGGTGAGGACGTGGGTGCTGTCGGACGCAGGGGTGTGCTGTGCTGCCTCGTGCGCCTGCTGGATGCGCTGGGCGGCCGAGAGGGGCTGCATCGTGGGAGGTTCGTGGCCGGTGGAGAGGGAGCGAGCGAGGGACCAGACGGGGTTGCGGGTGCGTGTAGCTGCTAGTGCTGTGCCAGTGTAGCTGTGTGTAGTCTCTGCTAGCCTCGTCAAGCTCGAGCGAGAAGAGCGGAACGAGTGCGCTGGCGAGAGAGAGACCTCGTGGAGAAGAGCGAAGGCAGATGGCAGCAATGACACGTTGTAGGGCGCTCTCGATGGATAGTACTACATCCCCTAGAGTATAGCGGGGAGATCTATCGAAACAGCGCTGCCCAAAGTCCGTGTCATCCCCTCCATCCTCCTCAAGCATTGCCAATGGACCTGGTTGCGCGACCGTCGTCGTCTTGCGTCTACACTGGATGCACGGCATGTCGCGGTCCGTCGGGATGTGTCGAGCGTCGCCTTGAAGCTCCCGCCTGGCTGAGGTCGAGCTGCAAGTGTTGCCGCGGCGCGCCGCCGACCTGTTGTCCTGAGGAGAAGGTTGTGACATCGAGTCGACCGTCTGTGCGCGAGAGGGAAGTAAGCAAGCAGGCAAGCAATGTCAGTGACTGCGCAGGACCCGCTCGGAAGGGCGCAAGGGAGAAGCAGCGGCAGGACAGCGGATTGAGGCCAAGGAGCGGCAGCACGACAGTCTCGGCTGGCGGCGCAAGCAAGGCAGGTATGCCAACCATCGCAGGCATTGAACAACAAGTATCCGTCCGCGTATGGGCGAGCACCGTCGCTACGACTTCCTCCATATCCTCGATGGCTGGCCCAACGAGCGCGAGAAGGGAGACGGCGCCCTTCCTAAGTCACTCCGCACGCTCTGAGGAGTGTAGAACGACAGAACGATGGAGAGAACCGCAGCCCGTCGTGTGCGAGTTCTGAGCGCCTGAGCAAGAGTCGGAGGCGGAATTCCAGGCTCGAAGCGCTCCACCGTCTCAACCGGTGCTCCTCCGCCACGTCTACCTTTCCGGTGAGATACACGAGCTGTCGCAATTGGTGGCAGACGCTCACGGTGCGGCGTGGGCGAGTTCGACGACCTCGTTTCGACGAGCTGATGAAGCGGCGCTGAGGGTGAGGAAGGAGCAGCGGGGCCGCGCAAGCAACGGGCGGATGTCGAAAGATGCTCTACTGAAGCACAGTAGCACTCGAAGGCGGTCCTGGCGGTGTGAGCGGTGTGGTTGCTGGCTAAGCATGTCAGCGTCCGCCAACTCACCACAACCCGCTCGACTGCGCTTTTGCGACGCTCGAGCCTGCTCTTGGACGTCGCTGAGCCACCCTAGACTGTCCCCGCCCGGCCCCGTCCGCGCCGTCGCCCCGCTCATCCTCCTCGCCATGCCTCCAGTCGGACAGGTAGTCATCGGTCCTCCAGGCAGCGGGAAGACGACCTACGTCTGGGGCTTGTACCAGGTGCGTCCCTCTCATCTCCCACCGCCTCAACCGAGCTCACGGAACGACATTCCGGCAGTTCTTCACCGCGCTCCGCCGCCCAATCCTCCTCGTCAACCTCGACCCAGCCTCTCCCTCCCCTCCCTACCCACACACACTCTCCATTTCCTCCCTCATCACCCTACACGATGCGATGGACGCTCACGGACTCGGTCCAAACGGCGCCATGTTGTATTGCCTCGAGTATCTTGAGGCGAATGTGGAGTGGTTGGAGGGCGAGTTGGAGAGGGCTATGAGGGGGTTGGAGGAGGAGGGGGATACTTTCCAGGGCGAAGATGACGAGGTGGATGAGGTTAGTGGAGGGAAGAGGGAGAGGAGGAAGTGGAAGAGGGACGAGGTGTATGTTGTGTTCGATACGCCCGGGCAGGTCGAGTTGTCGACGAATCACGGGAGCCTGAAGCGGATCATCGAGGCGCTACAGAAGCGGATGGGTTTCCGGGTGCGTTCGCTTTCCCTCTCCCTCCCATTCTCCCCAGCTTACGCTTCTATGCGCGCGCAGTTAGCGGCGGTCCACCTAATGGACTCGACGCACATCCTCGACGCATCTAAATACGTCTCGGTCCTCCTACTCGCGTTGAGGACGATGCTCCAGCTCGAGCTGCCGCACATCAACGTCTTGAGCAAGATTGATTTGCTGGGTCAGACGGGCGACTTGCGTGAGTCCGGCCGTTTCGGAGTCTTGACCTGCTCTGCCTCACTTTGCGCAGAGGAGCTGATAGAGTACTTGACTGGTTCTTGCAGCCTTCAACCTCGACTACTACACTGAAGTTCAAGACCTGTCCTACCTCCTCCCGCTCCTCGAGCGCGACCAACGAACCAAACGCTTCTCGGAGCTGAACCGCGTCATCTGCGAGATCGTCGAGGAGTTTGGATTGGTGGGGTTCGAGACGCTGGCGGTTGAGGTGCGCCCGACGCTCTGTTCCTACGGATCGCTATCACCGCTTTACAGCGATGCTGACCTTGGAGGACGCCTTCCGTGCACGCAGGACAAAGACTCGATGCTCCGCCTCGTTCAAGTGATCGACCAGGCGCTGGGCTACGTTCCTCCCTCCCTCTCATTCCTTCCCTCCACCTCCTCCTCGCCTCACACTCACCTGCACTCCCGCCCCTCCGACCAACACGCAACGCACCACCACTCGGCCCCTCACCCCTCCTTCTCTCAATCCCAGCCTCTCTCATCCGGTCTTCACACGTCCACGATCCAAGAGAAATGGGTTGATCATCCGAAGGAGTGGGAGGAGTTTGAGAGGAGTAGGTGGGAGAAGGAGGGGGAGTGGGCGGCGGAACGGGCGAACGAGAGGGAGAAGAGGAAGGCTGTGAAGGAGGCGGAGGGGACGGAGGGGATGGAGACGTGAAGAACGGAAGGTTGGCTCGTTCGATGAATGATGTCGTTCGCATTCTGGCATCATTCTCGCATCTCGCAAGTACCTGCACGCTCGCCGTCCCGCTGTACTGGTACTCCTTCCGCGAGACAGCCCTCTTCGCTCTTATCGTTATCCTTCCTTTGGGCTGCCGCTGTATTCCAGCTACCGTAGCTGTCTCTAGCAGCGCTGCGAGCCCTTAGAGACCTCGTCCTGGTACGCTCGAGGTCGCACCTCCCGCCGTTATTCGCGGGTTCGCCTTCTTTGCTTCGCTCGCACGCCTCAACAGCTCGAGCTGCCGTCGCCAGTAGCTAGACCGTCTCGAAAGCTCCTGATTCAGCTCCTCAGCTCTCCGGCGGCCATCTGAGCGGTTTGTCGCGCCTCCTGCTTCCCCTCATCTCCCGACATTCCCTCGCCCATCCTCCCTCTCCCGCAACACCCGATGACGACGACTTCCCTGATCCCATGGGCCTTGCGACATCCGCTCCTCGCCCTCCCCTTACCTTGGTGGATCCGCCCCTCCCGACTCGGTCCAAAACGCTCGCTCGTCCTCGGCCTCACACTCGGTTTCTCCCTCTCCTTGTCGCTGACGGGATTGGCGCTCTATGCGCTTGATGCGTGGAAGAGAAGCTTGAGGAGGAAGGCGGAGAAGAGGGCGATTGAGATTAGGGGAGATGAAGTTGTTGACGGGGTCGAGGCGTTGATAGGTGAGCGCGCTCGCTGGGAACCTGTCTATTGCTTCAGGGAAATACACAAGTACCACTTCGTTGATATCTCTTCCTCGACGACGCAGGAAACACGCCGCTCGTCCGGATAAGGTCGCTCAGCGATGCTCTCGGCGTCGATATTCTGGTGAGGCCAGCTTTCGTCCGCTTAATCAGCAGCCGAGTCAAGGAAGACCCGAGCTGATGATGAAGCCGATCCCTCCTGGTCCACAGGGCAAATGCGAGTACATGAACCCGTTCGGATCCGTCAAGGACCGCGTTTCTCTCCAAAGTGCGTCGCTCCTCCCTCTCAAGCTCCTTCATCGCCAACTCTTCACCGGCAGTCATCAAACAAGCTGAGGAAGAAGGCCTGATTCACCCCGATACCGGCTCGTGCATCTTTGAGGGAACTTCCGGCAGCACCGGTATCTCGATTGCTGGAATCGCTCGCGCAAGAGGGTACAAAGCTCGTATGTACTTTCGCTACTACCCTCGTACAGATTCTGTTGACACTTTCTTCTGGCAGACATCGTCCTAGCCGACGACGTTGCCAAGGAGAAGATTCAGATGCTCGAGGTCTTTGGCGCAGAAGTCGAGCCGGTCCGACCAGTCTCCATCGTCGACCGACGACACTACGTCAACCTCGCGCGGCAACGAGCACTCGAATTCGGCAAGCAGACGGTCGTTTCGACAACAAGCGGCGACACTCCTTCGCAAACCCCTCGCTCCGTCACTCCCGCTCCATCGTCCTCCTCATCCCGCAACGCGCCCGATATGCTCGTCACGTCTCGTACTCCTCCTCGTTCTTCCACCCCCTCGACAGACGCCTCTACCCTCCAGCCTTTCACGCCCTACCGCGATCCACCACGCGGCGTCTTCGCCGACCAGTTCGAGAACACGTCGAACATGCTCGCGCACGAGCAGGGCACGGCGGTAGAGATCTGGAAGCAGACGGCGGGGAGGGTGGATGGGTTCGTTAGTGGTGCCGGGACCGGAGGAACGATTGCGGGCGTTGGGAAGGTTTTGAAGGAGAAGACAGGCGGGGCGTGCGAGATTGTGTTGGCGGATCCGCAGGGGAGCGGACTGTATCATAAGGTTCGTGCACTGCTGGAGTTCATCGAGAAGACGCGGCTGACTCGACGTTCCGCAGATTCACGACGGCGTGATGTACGCGGAGACCGAGTCGGAAGGCAAGCGGAGACGGCATCAGGTCGACACGGTACGAGTGCTCTCCGAGCGACCTAATCTCGCGAAGCTGACCCATAGTTGCAGATTGTCGAAGGGATCGGCCTGAACCGGATAACCAAGAACCTCGCTCGAGCATTACCCATCATCGACGACGCTTTCCGGTACTTCCTCTCCGTCTCTACGCTTTCCTTGCTTCTGCTCATCCCCACCTCTCGCAGAGTCACCGACGCCGAAGCAGTCGCCATGTCCCGCCACCTCGCTCTCCACGACGGCCTCTTCCTCGGCTCCTCATCCGCCGTCAACCTCGTCGCGTGCGTACGGCTCGCGCGGAAGTGGGGACGAAGAGGGCGGGGGAAGCGGATCGTGACGATCTTGTGCGATTCGGGCGCGAGGCATACGAGTCGGTTCTGGTGAGTCTCGTCGAGCAGGTTACGCAGATCCTGCTCAGCGACGGTGTGGCTCTCGCCTGTCCGTACTGATCGAGGAAAAACTCGCAGGAACAACGACTACCTCGTCGCAGCCGGCATCCCACTCTCGACCTCAATCGACTTCCTCTTCTCCGAGCCCGACTCGGATTCTCTCACCGACGAAGACAGCGAGGCCGGACCGGACCCGAGTCACGACTCGGAGCTCGCGAGCGACGATCCGAGAGAACTGCCGCCCCCGCCTGTGGAGTTGCTCGTTCCGCGCGAAGGGGAGGAGAGAGTCTTTGGGCATTCGTAGTTCCTCCAGCACTCCAGCGAGAAAGGAGGACACGTCTATGGATTGCATGCACAACAATGCGATAAGAGGGGTTTAGTCTTTGTCTAGAGAGTACAGGACCGTCGACGAGATGACCAGCAGTCCGCCGACGATGAGCATCGTTCCTGGCACAACGCCGAATAGGACGGCCGAGGCGAGTGTTGAGACTGTAGGAGACGAGCTTGAGCCGTGGATCAAAGAGAATGGAAGGGGGAGCGACCCACGGACGATGGCAATGCTTGTCGCGAAGCCCTTTGCGACGCTGTCCGCTTCTCGGACGACCTGCGCAAGACGACAGCGTCAGCGATGCGCGAAGCACTGATGTCAAGCGGAAAACACGCACCATCGCAACCAGCAGCCCTCCGAGCGCCTGGTTCAGCACGACACACCAAACGAGCGGTGTGAACCCAGTCCACATCCCTCCCAAAGCCCGGACTGCTTCCTCCAAACCGCGCTTCTCAAATGCGTTGCGTATAGGCGAGGACAGGAGGACGCCGGAGAACGAGAAGAGGAGTGAGGGGACGGAGAGTTGGAGGTTGCGAGCCCAGAGGGAGGGCGAATTCTTGCGCAACTGGAGGGAAGGCGATTTAGGCGAGTCGGGAGTTGCTGCGGGAGTCGGCGCGGACGAAGGAGGGCTCTTGAGAACCCATTCGAACCATGCGCCCGCGAGTCCGCTGCTCAAGCAAGCCGCCAGGATCGCCGCGAAGCCTTTGGTCGGATCTTGCGAAAGGGATACATGGCGCGTTGGAGAGGGTTTGGGCTCGGACGACTCGAGCTGGACGATGGCGACGCCTGTGGTGAGGAGGATGAGGGAGATCCATTTCTGGACGGAGAGGGAGCGGCGGAAGAAGAGGATGGAAAAGATGGCGGTTGTGAGGAGCTTGAGCTGCGTCGCCACGAGCGTCAGTATGACCCCGCCTGCCAAAAAGTGAAGCGAGCGCACCTGGTAGGTCGTCTGATACGTCGCGGCATCCAAATTCGACAGTGCGACGTACTGCGTGGAAACGGTCAGCTGCGGGCCTTCGCGAGACAGGCGAGCGGAAACTCACAAGGAGCGTATTCTGCAGGGCGTACAGCATCGCAGGCACCGCAAGCTTGACCACCTCTGTCCGCTGATTCCGCGCGAGATCCTGGACCGCCGCTCCGGCGTGCCAGAGGTACCCTCCACTCCCTGCCTTTGCCCTGGACACTTTCCTCCGTTCTACCGCCAGCATCGAGATTGACAGCGCCGCCTTGATGAGTTCGGCGGTGAAGACGGCGACGGAGGGGTTGTAGAGGGAGCGGGAGGATGTCGTGCGGGACTGGCGGGTCAGGATCGAGACGGACGCGTTCTGGACGCATAGTAGGACCAGTGCGAGTGTCTTGCGCGGTATCAGCGGCGAAGAACTGCGGGTGTTCGTCGAGTTAGACCGTCAGCAAGTTCGATCAAGACGAGGAGGACAACAAAGACGCACGCTACTCCGGGGCCATCCTGCTTTGTTTGGGCGGCATGAGTCGTGTCTGCTGGAGCTGGTGAGCCCTTTCTCCGCTGCCTCAGCGCCATGAGAGCGGTGCGGTGGACGCCAACTCCTCATCGCGACTGTCAACCCTCGACTTGTCACGCTCACACGCTCTGAAGGACTTGCTGGACCAACAGACACCGCTAATCATGACTTCTCACTTCATCGACCGCTTCGCCAAACGCGCAGCGCACCTCGAGCCGTCCACCTCCTCCTCTCGCTCTTCTCATCAGTCGGCAGCCCCACGTCCAGCTGGTGGGCTCGACAAGCGCGCAGAGGTCGAGCGGGCAGAGCTCAGCGGTGTACGGGAGGAAGGCTGCACGTTCTGTAATATCGTCGCGCGAGAGGAGCCCGCTTTCACGGTGTGTTACCCTGCGAAGGTCGAGCGAGTGAGCGACTGACGGCGTCCTCCACAGGCGTACGAGGATGAACATGTCATGGCATTCTTGGGTAGGATGGCTGCGATTCCACGGGAACGTGCGAAGCGTAACTGACGCCGTCCCGCGCAGATATTCTGCCGATTCGCCCTGGCCACCTCCTGCTCATTCCGAAACGGCATCACCAGCGAGTGTGAGTATCGCGAAGCGCTTAAATGCCCGAGAGTGAGATATCATCGGCTGACAAGTTCATCGGCAGAACGGACCTGCCAGACGACCTAGGAGCGCATCTGGGACGGGTCATGCCCCGACTGACGCGAGCGCTGTGTCGAGGTGCGTACCCTTTCTTCACTCAGAGGCTCTCCTGAGTTGCTGAAGCACCCGCTGGTACAGCGACTGGACAGCCGGACTTCAACGTTGTCTCGAACGTACGCTTCTTTCGCTCCCCGCTCGCTTGCTCTGCGCAGCGTCTATGGGCACCGCATGGCCAGCTTGCACACGCCGAAGAACGTGCAGACATTGACGTCTCTCTCGTCCACAGCAAGGCTATGCCCAGGTTGTCCCGCACCTACACTTCCACTTCGTGCCAGCCCCCTTCCCCTCCGCTTCCAGCTCCTCGCAGCCAAAAGCTCGACACATGTGGATCGGCCGCGACGAGCTCACGGACGAAAAAGGTGAGGAGATGGTGCGCAAGATCCGTGTCGAAGTCGAGCGGGAGTTTGAGGGCTTTGAGCGACGGAGCATGAGTCCAGGCGGGAAGCTGTAGATTTATCGAAGCGAGGTATGGTTGCAAATGCAGGATGAGAGGTATTCAAAGGACAAGCGGGGTACTGAACATGCGGAACAAGCGAGTCTACCATTCTCCTCCTTCACTTCTTGGCCTTCTTCGCCGCCCCGCCCGCCTTCGCTCCTCCGCTGGCCGCCCTCTTCGCAGGCGCCTTCTTTGCTCCAGTCGCCTCCTTGCCATCCGCCTCGCCCTCCTTAGCGCGCGCATTCGTCTTCGGCGGGGCCAACACCGCCCTGTTGCGGTACCCCTGCTCCTCGCACTCGGCCTCGAACCGCTCAAGCAGCTTATTGAAGTCCGCCGTCTCGCAGCAGCCGAAAATCTCGTGCTTCGACAAGCCGAGCTGGGTGATGCGAGGGGAGGAGACGCCGAAAGCGAAGCGGGCGAGGAAGCGAGGGTCGTCGCGCACGCCGCAGACGCCGAGGACGAAACGGACTTGTTTGTCGGAGAAGGCGCTGTCGTATTTTGGCTGGAAAGGGATCGCTTGACGGGTCTTGCAGAACTGCGAGCGTCGCTCGGAGGTCAGCTCGATGCGAAGGGAAGCGGAAGGTCCCGAAAGACGCACCGAGCAGATTCCGCAGCCTTTCTCGGGGACAGCCTTGTCGTCGCCAAAGTAGCAAGCGAGGAGGTGCGCGTAGCCTGCGTACCGACATCAGCTCGGCATAGCCAGCACGGAAGAACTCGCGCGTACATTGTCCCCCCTTGACAAACTCGGCGACGTTCCTCAAGCGCTTGACGTCCGCCTCCTCGCGCTCATGCAGCTGCTTGAAGATGGCGTTGGCGAGTTCCTCGATATCCTCATCGAGCTCGGGAAGCACGTTCTCGATCTTGTACCGCATCCGGACGCCGCCGACCTTGACTTCGCACCAGCCGTTCCTGCGGGCGCGATGAGCGTGAGCAAGAGACAAAAGGGTGCGAAGAAGAGCGAAACTCACATCTCCCAGCGCGAGATCTGCCTGACGAGCTTCGAGCGCTCAATACCCTCCGCCTCGGCCGTTCCGACGACATCAATCGTATGCCAGATCCTGCCCTGCTTCCAGTGCTTCTGCAGAGCGACGGCCTCGGGCGAGCGGTCGCTCAGGACGTTCGGGAAGGCGGAGGGGTTGTTCTCGAGAGGCTTGATCGTGTAAGTCGAGTAGAAGGGCGTGGTCGCGCGGATGAGGCCGTACTGCAGCTCGAGGATCGTGAAGAGGAGGCTGAGCGTATTGCGCTGCGACGTACGATCGTCAGTAATTGCTGAGACGAGGCAAGGCAGCGAGACGTACGCCGATGTCGAACTCGTTGCTCATCTTGTAGTGGTCTGCCGAGATGGTACCGTCGTCGTCGAGGGGCGAGATGAAGAAGGCGTCGAGCCAGGTGCGGATCGAGCGCAAAGAGGGAGTGTTGGCGCGACTGTAAGTCCGAGATGGTCAGGATACCGGCACCAGGGAGCGCCAGGCGTAGTACGCACGCGAACGACTCAAGGATAGGCATGTCAGAAGCCGAGGGACTGCGAGAGCGTCCAAGCGTGAGCGATAGCGCACCACGCCGAGCCCCGCTGGACTCACACCATCAAGCAGAGCGAAGGAAGACCGTCACGTCCCGCGCGGCCGATCTCTTGCCTGCGGAGGAAGCGTGAGCAAGGCGAACATGCAGATGATCAGAAGGGCCAAACGCACGAGTAGTTCTCGAGCGTCTTGGGCAGCTGAAAGTGCGCGACCATGCGAATATTCGCCTTGTCGATGCCCATCCCGAACGCGATCGTCGCAACGACGACTCCGTTCCCGCCAATGAACCAGTCTTGGATAGTCTTCCTGTCGTCCGCCTTCAAACCAGCGTGGTAGGGGCGAGCTTCGATTCCGTGCAGGTCGTGCAGCTCTTGCGCAACTTCCTCCGCCTGCTTCTGCGTCGTGACGTAGACGATCGCTGCGCCGTCACCGCGGGACTTGAGCGCCGGAACGAGGACAGCGAACTTGGCCTTGAAGTTGGCGCACGGCTTGATCGAGATGGAAAGGCTGCCGCACGCGAGGTGAGCTTTCGCTCCCACGCAATTCCGGAACCGCCGCGACGCACTTGGGACGGAAGGTACCGGTCGAGAAGACGCCCTTCTCGCGGTCGATGTCGAACCCGTTCGTCGAGTCGCAGATGTCGGTGATGACGGAAGGCGTCGCCGTGGCCGTCAAGCAGAGAACGCGTTCGGCAGCGATCTCCTTGGCGAAGCGCGACACTTTGAGGTACTCCGCGCGGAAGGATGGGCCTGCACGAGACGTTCGTTAGCGAGCGGCGTGATAAGCTGAGGTGCGAACAAGACCAACCCCATTCGGAGACGCAGTGGCTCTCGCTAGAGCAAAGCAACTCGTGTCGGCAAGCGCTCCACACTTTCATGCAATGCGGACGTACTCGACGGCGAGAAGCGAAATCTTCTGCTCCGAGATCATCGAGACGAACATTTCATTGTTCAGCCTGCGAGGGCGAGTTAGCATACCGAGCCAGTCAACGGAATGTGAGCCGGGCTGACCTCTCCGGCGCGACGTAGAGGATTTTGAGCGTCCCCTCGCGCAGCTGTCTCCTGACCTCCGAACTCTCTTCCGTCGTCAAGCTCGAGTCGAGCGCTGCGGCCGGGACGCCTCGCTTCTTCAAGTTGTCGACCTGGTCTTTCGACAGGGCGATGAGAGGAGAGATAACGAGTGTGAGGCCGTCGAAGCACTGTCGAAACGAACAGGGTCAGCGAGTTCGAGGAAGAGGGCGGTCGAGCGGGACTGACAAGTGCCGGGACTTGAAAGACGAGACTCTTTCCGCCGCCCGTCGGCATGATGCAGAGAGCATTTTGACTCTCGACGACGAGCCTCTGGATGACCTGCGGGCGAGGGCCGAGTTGAGTATCGCTGAAATATCAGGCTGGACGAGTGGGGCGACGAACGCACCTCAGCCTGGACTCCTCGGAACGATGGGAAGCCCCAGTAGCGCTTCAGCTGGGCGTACGCGACCTCCATGACCGGTCTGCGGGGCGTGCGATGCGCTTGTGCGTGCTGGCGATTGAAGGAAGCCGAGTGGGGATGTGAGGGAGCACTCGACGCTTGCAAAGTAGAGGGCTTTGGAGAGCAGCTATGAAACGTGTGGATACCTCCACTGAGTGAACGCGACTGGTGCAGCGAGCGCTCAGAGTAGTATCGAGGATGAGGGGACGGAGAAGGAAGAGGGGAGAGGGAGAACGTACAGGCAGTCGACGAGGTGGAAAGTCGGCGACAGCGGGACGCAGTCGAGTCGAGGCCGTGAGCGATAAGGATGGCCAGAACGGCGCGAGCGAGCGGAGGAGAGCACGAGACGACGCATACTTGCGGCATGTGGATCCGAAGAGAGGCAGAGCGGGATTCTTCAGCTACGGAAGGACAAAGGGAGCGTGGACTACACAGCATTGAAGCCGAGTGAATGGAATCCGAGCACTGAGCGCGAGGAAGAGACGAGGAAGAAAGGGACGGGGGTCGAGAGCGAGGAGCGTGCGAGCGAGGAGAGGGAGACGGTGCGAAAGCTGCGCTGGACGTGTCGCAAAATACGTTAGCAGCGCGCCCAAGAATGTGCACAAGTCCAGCAACACCGTGGAAGCGGGAAGCGAGTGAGGAGACAGATGTCAACGAGCACAAGGAAGCGCATCGCCAGGTCACTCTCCTCCGTTATGGCTGGACGGTACTGCTTTACAGAGAGAGGAAAAATCCGATGAGCTAGAGACGAGCGAGCACAGACCGGAGGGGAAACAGAGAGAGGAAAAACGCGTGAAGAGGTCGGCGAGGTGGATGCACGCCTGACAGCGCGACAAAGCAGCGCTACAGGTTCAGAGTAGAGGAGGGATCGACGAAGCAGGTTGGAGAGACGAAGGCCAGCTATATATCCGTCCAACCCTCCGCGACGAATCCCTCATCCCGCTTTTGCCTCCTCCAACGGATCTTCGTCCCCTCCGTGTCGAGTTCAAGGATGACCTGCAGTACTGGCATTCCTCGAAGGTGGCGCAGCAACCTGCCGAGTGTGCGGAAGCTGGGCTCGAGACGACCTTTTCCACACGCCTCGAGGATCGCTGACTGGGCAGAAACCGCATCGAGCTCCTCGCCGGCGCGCATGGGAGCTGGGAATCCGCTGATGCGCAGTAGGAGAAGGTCGGGAAAGAATGCCAAGACCGTCTGGAGCCCTTTCAGCACGTCCTGCAGAGACGAGCCTGTGAGCGGACGAGAAAGCCCTCAAGCGAAGGAAAGCATCATACCTGGCCCTGCCAGCTTGTCCGCAAACCAAGCTGGAGGCTACGCACAGTCGTGAGGCGGAAGCTGTGCGCTTCGCCTGCCGTTGCAATGCTGTAGTCGAGGTCGACAAATGCCAGCTCCGCAACATTGGCTGCCGTCAAAGCGGTCAACACGCCGAGGAACCAGCAGCTTGCTGGCAAGTTGCGCGGGTGAGGGTCGTCAGGTACGCGGAGGCGCAGACGTCGAAGGGCGATTGGCTGCATGGACGAGCGTGATCAACTTGACGCAGTGCGCAAGATGGCAAAGATTGACGCACCCCTGTTTTTTAGGCATCTAGAAGGGACTGAAGGAATGTCCAGATGTCATGATCAGGCTCGATGGACTCCTCGTCGATGTCCAGGTAGAGCAGAGTGCGCCACGGCACGGCAGCTCCGGCGAAGCTGAACGTCTGGGTCTCAAGGTGCGTCAAGAGCGACAGCCCGGGCATGACCTGCGCAAGGGTTACGTTTCCATCGTGGAGGGCAATGAGTCTGCGCAACGAAGGCACGTCGCGCTCGAGGGAAAAGCCAGGCGGGACGGGCGGCTCTTTCCACCTGTAACGGGATATGAATGTGAGCGAAAGGGTCTCAAGCACGCGGAAGGACTTTAGAGCATCATAGAAGCAAGGAGGGACTTCTCGGCAGTCCTCGTTGTCTGCGAACGAGATGCAGAGGTATGTGAGGGCGTGCATGCGCCGGAGCATCGAGCATTGGAGGTTCGGCAGACAACTGGAGAGCTGAGGAGCGAGGTGCACAACCGCGGTACCACGTGTGGGGTTGCTGAACAAAGCTGTGAAGACGGTGTCGCCCTGGTCCTCCAGCGCCTCGATGCACAAGTTGCGCGACCAGATCGGATAGGCGACCTCGAAGACGCGCTTGTTCAGCATGACCACGCCAAATTGTAGTCTGTCTCTGTCGCTGCAAAGGTGGAGATCCATGGCGAGCGAGAGGATGGTCGACAACAGTTCGGTCGGGAGAGTGACGAGGGACGCAGGGAGAGGGGGCGAGTCTGTGGGTCGCGATGAGTCAGCGCGCTCGTGCAGAACTACTCGAGCAGTGCACTTGTGCTGTGCGTACCGTTCGGGAGCCCTGCGATGCCCTCGTTCGCTTCGTCGCTTCCGGACGAAACGGCGACGATGGGGTGGGGCGCGCTCGCGGGCGAGGGGGAAAGGACGCCTGACATGGCGAGAGTGAATTTACGCTTTATAAGCGAGCCAAGCGACAGAAAGAGTGAATCGCGACGAGCAAAGAATAGCGGAAAGGAGGGAGAGAGAGGGAGGAAGGAGGGTGAGAAGGATCCCAGACGAAGGCGGCGCTTTCTTCGGTCGGCGGGCGAGTCTTAGAAACGAGCTGTGAGAAAGGCCTACAACAGCCGCGGACGCAGCAAAAGAAGAGGGAGCGAGAGGCAAAAAGAAGAGCCTGCTCAGTGGCGGGATCGAACCGCCGACATCGGACTAAACACAGAAAGTATTAGGTCCGCATCATAACCAACTAGATCAACCGAGCTTGCTATGTAAGCGGCACTTAACTTGCATACACATCCCACAAGCTGTGCGAGCGTGCTCTCGACGGCCGTTCTCGCTTTCCTGCGGCTCTCCTTGCGTTGGGTGTTCCCGCACGAGTCTCTGCAGCAAGACTCTTATTGCCAGGCAGTCAGAAGAGTGTCCTGTGTGCGCGACTCCTTGCAAATCGGAGAGGGGAAGCCATGTACAGCAGTCTCCAGGACGACTGGGGCGGAGAGAGAGCTACGAGGAGGAGCGCGATGTAAGGAATCCACAACAATCGAGAAGACGGCACTAACAAGGGGAGGAAGAAGTGACGCGAACAAGAAAGGCGAAAGGTGGGTAGTTGTTCGAGCGCCGGAAAGCGCTCACGGCTGCGGCGGAGGCGGCATAGGAAGAGGCGGGTAGTCGGGATGCGCTGTGTAAGGGTGGTACTGCGCTGCGCCGTACTGAGCGGGCGGGAGAGGGAGAGTGTGCGGATGCGACTGTTGAGGAGGCGGAAGCTGGTGTTGCGGGTGCTGGTGCTGAGCGTGAGGGTGATAGGCGTACAGGGGCATTGGGTGCATCGGGTGCTGGTGCGCTTGTCCGGCGCCGGCGGCGAGGAGCGACGAGAGCGGGGGACCGTTATGCGCTTGTTGCGGAAGGGGGAGGAAGGCGGCGGCGGCAGGACCCTGCGACTGTTGCTGCTGACCCTGCTGACCCTGCTGCGATGGTTGCGGCAACAGCCCGACGCCGTTCTGGCCGTACCCAGCACCCTTCTCGCCGCTTGGTCCCGCCTGGCCTGCTTCGAACGAGGCGCGCATGTTGAGCGCATGGCTGTTGTGCGACGCTCCGAGCGCCGCAACGAGCGCAGCCGTCGCGTCGTCCGTCGAGCTCGACGGGCCAGCCACGGCGTTCCCACTCTCGGCCGTCCGGAGCTGCTGCGCCGCCGCCGCACGCGCCTGAATGTCCTGCCCGTCCGCGCCCGCCAGAACAGTCGGCAGCCCCTCAGCCTTCGGCTCCTTCGGCTTCTTCTCCCTCGGACCCGTGCTCTTGCGCTCCGTCGCGCGCTTCCCGCCGCACGTCGGGCAAAGCTTGACGAAAACGGTGACGACCTCTTTCGGGACATACGACCACCCCTTCTTGACCGCCGCATAAGTCTTGTCGCGTCCGCCGTGCTTGGTCTCGGCGTGCGCAGAGGCGATCGTTTCCCACAAGGCGTCCTTGAGGACGACCTTCTTGTAGTCGTGGAGGACGTACTTGCCTTCGGGCTGCTCGAGGAGGGTGAAGCGCTGGCGGACCCAGAAGCGCAGCTGCGGGTCGCCGAGTTGCGTGTTCTGCGGCTCGATGAGGATCTTGAGGACGAGGTCGTGCAGCGCGTCGGTCACTGCGGGTTGCAATTCATCGTCAGTCATGCCACAACAAGGTGAAGAGACAGCGAGCTCTGACACACTGAGAGCTTTATTGCGCTTGATAGGGTGCAAGCTGAGGATGTAGTCGTCGACGGCCTTGTCGTACGCCGTGCGTTCGGGCATCTCGCCGTCGGACGGCTGGACCGGGACGAGGTGGGCAATGATAGGCTCGGGAGGAGGTGCCAAAGGTGCAGCAGGGCCAGGTGCGCCGTCGCCAGCCGTTCCCGATGGACCTGCGACTGGGTCGAGGACGGCCAAGTCGCCAACAAGCGGACCGGCGCCGGGCACACCGGGCGCGATGGCGAGGTCGAGAGTAGGCGGAGGAATCTGGTGTTGCTGTTGCTGAGCCAGGGCGGACTTGGGGAGCTTGTGAATCCTCGGACCCGGCTTCTTGCGCTCGGGTTTGGGTTTGGGCTCCTTCTTGACCGGCGGAGGCGGAGCGGGCGCAAGTTTGTTATCAACTGCAATGTCTTGGTTGCCCTCGTCCGTCGCGTCGATGACCTCCTCGTCCTCGTCGCTGCTCGAGTCGCCCCTCTGCTGCTTCGAGAGTTGGCGAGTCGCCCTCGCCGATGCCTGCGCTGCCGCCCTGCGCGGCCTCTTCGATGACGGTTCGCCGTCGTCATGCTCAGCCTGGGTAGGCCCAGCGGGACCAGCAGCACCGGCGGGAGGAGCGTCGTTCAGCGGGGGATGTTGGTCGACGCTGGCGGTGACGGCGGGCGTCGCGTTGGAGGGCACGTCGGGTTCTCCCTCTGCGTCAACGTCGTCGTCGTCATGTTGCTGTCCCTGCGCGTGCGCCTGCTGTCCCGGCGAGCGCGCGCGCTTCAAGTTGAGCGATGAAGACGGGGTCGTCGGGAGAGGCGGGTCCTGCTGGCCTGGCTGAGCGGGAGGAGCCCAGGCGAGCGAGCCATTGGGCGTGACAGTGCGCACGAGTCCGTCAGGGTGTTCCGGTGAAGCAGCAGCGTCCATCCCGAGCGAATTCAGTCGGGAACAGAAGGTGACGAGGAGAAGGGTGTGTGAGGACGAGGGAGAAGATGGATGTGCTCTCTCTTTCGAGCGCACAGGCACAGTGTACACACAGACCGCTGCACTGCAAGGATAACGATACACCCGGGCACGCCCTCGGAAGCTGGACTCGAGAGAGTTCACAACCTGGCTGGGCGAGCGAGGCGGACGAGGTCGTAACAGGCGTCCTCTACCCCTCCTGAGCCTCCTGGCCGTCTCTACGCATACCGCTGAGCGACGATGTGGCGTCCACGACTCTCGAGGCGGTGGAGGAGACGCCGCGCTGACGCCAGCACCGTCGGTTCACCCTTCTTGCGTCTCGAAAGCACCGCGAACGGGTCCGGGTCCTCGTCGAACGGCGGCTGTGTCGACGGGGCAGTCACAGGGGCGCGTGGGTAGGCGGGGAGGGTGGTCGAAGGCAGGTAAGGCGGGAGGGAAGTCGCGGAGGATACAAAGGCCGGCTTGTCGAGCGGGAGGGACGAGGTCGATGACGCCAGCGATGGATGCGGCGACTCATTGTCGGTGAAAGACGTGACTGACGACGGCCTTGCGACATCTTGACTCCCTCCCGCCATACCCGCACCTCCACCAACCGCGGCCTTCTCCTGCCCCTCTCCAACCTTCGCCAACTTCGTCGCCAGCGTCCATTCTCTCTTCACCGCCTGCTCCCACGTGCCAAGCTTGACGAACAGCTCAGGCTTCTTGAGTAGCGGAAGGAGGTCCGGGCGGATTTGTGATGGCGGTCGAGCGAGGACGGAGGGGTGGTAGTACTCGCAGGTTGCGCTGCAGTGTATGGTCAAAAAAGTCAGAAGCGTAGTCGTGAGGCGAAGCGAGGGAGCGAGAAGGAAAAGGACGAACGGGTTGAAGGAAGTGGGAAGGAGGCGGTCCATGGGCGGCGCGAGGCGGAACTCTCCTATACGAGACCTGCGCAACATCGAGATTCTCGCGTCAGCTCGTAACGTCCATGAGAGATGCTCGTGAAACGCACTGATGAGCTTCCATCGCTCCCCAAGGCGCCACCGCCTTCCCAACCACGAGTCGGCGGAGGTAGTCGTAGTCGAACGCGAGGAAGGATTCGGTCTCGGAGACGAGCCAGGAGAGCGTGAGAAAGGATAGGTCAGACTCTTTGTAGCTGCCGCCAATGTCTGCATTGAGCGGGGTCGACGGGGGAAAGCCTGAGTTAGGGACTCGACGCGTGCTACTGACGGAGCGAAGAGCGGTATCTACGCGACTCACCCGCATGTGCGCCCGGAAACCAGACCTGCAACAACCTCTGTCCCGGAATCCCTCCCTGCCCTCCTTTCCCACCCCCGACAGCCCCATACCGATTCCACAAGACCGGCCTAAAGTCGATCCTCCTCTCGTCTATCGCAAGTGCCTGAAAGGCGTTTTCGACGATGGGCTCGAGTATGGACTCGTCGAAGCCGAAGGAGTTGAAACGTGGAGAGGTAGAGGAGGGAGAGGGGGGGTCGAGGCGGAGGGAGGTTGGACGGCCACGGGTTGCGACCTGTGGGAGGATCGGATCAGTCAGTCGAAGAGCAACGTAGAGAAGCGGGAAGGGAGGGCGCACCGTATCAAAGACCCCGACGCACTTGACCAGAAACTTCCCCTCCAACGCCTTGACCTGTTCCCTCCTGAACCCCTCAAGCGGCCTCAACAGCTTCGTCACCTCGCTCAGGGCACGGTGGTCGTCCGAGTCATTCTTGCCCGTGTGGGAGTCGAGGGCCGCGAAGATCGAGGGGAAGAGGTGGAGGTAGGAACGGGGTGGGAGGATGCCGATCACGTTCTGTGCCCAGGGGAAGGTAGTGAGGCTCTCAAGACTCCAAACAGCCATCCGCGGAACTGAGGACGACCACGGACGGCAGGCCGAATGAGGGGACTCACCAGTAGAGAGCAAAGCAGGCGAACGGTGTAGGCGCCACGCGAGAACCCGAACAGGTATATCTGCCGTACGTTCAAAGTCAGCTGAGCTCGGCGTCGCAGACAGTCTCGGAAGAAAAGCGGGAAGAAAAGCGAGAAAACTCGGCTCACCTCGTCGCCCATCTCCCAGTTCAATGCCACAAAGTCGTACAGATCGCGTACTTTCTGCATCATGCCGCGTCCCAGCGCGCCCTACGCAATGAGTCGTGAATGAGTAAGCCTCGCGGCCTTCAACAGCGCCGTGAGTCGAGACGCACCGTGACGAGTCCACCCAACGCGGCCTCGTCCGTACCGACTCCGCTCTGGTAGAACTTGATCTGCTCGACCGGCGGATTCCTGCGCCACAGCCCACCCGTAAGCGAGTATTCACGACCGCTAAAATGGATAAGAGGAACTCACTCTCGCTCGTCCAGCTCCTTGACCGCCCTTGACAGCCTTCCGATGTTGGTGTACAAGTCGAGGTCCTTCTGCGTATCGGCGTCCTCGAGTGTGCCGTCGCAAAAGAGAATCAGGCGCTTCATGCTGTGACTTGGGTGAGCAGGGAGCGGGCAAAGAAGAGGGCGAGGCTGGAGAGCGTTGTGCAGCAGCGCACGACCTTGGGCTTAGCCGAGAGATCGACAGAGGAGACCTCGTAAAGGCAGCGGACCAGGCCTCCACAGCAAGCTCGACAGGCAGCGCTGGAAGAGGAAGAGAGGGAGGAGGAAGAAACCGGCGAATCCGCGGACCTCGAAGCTCGACCACACAGCGACGACGGAGCCGCTGCGAGGGTCAAAATCGCCTCTGGTCCCTTCTACGAGGTCCCGCAGGGCCCAGCTAGTCCCCAGACGGTGGCCTGGAGACGTAGTCCGTCAGAGTTGATGAGAATTGGCGGGAGGTGGAGGAGGTGATGCGAGAGGCCGGGAACGTCAGCGCTCGCAGCTGAGAGGCAGCGTATCACCCTCTCCAGCAGGATCAAGCCCTCCCAGCACCGAAAGAAGCGAGCAGCGAGCGTGGTCGAGGGTCAAGGTGTCGACGAACACCTCTGCGAGGACCACTCGCTGGCTCACCCGCTGAGAGCGCCATGCTGCGCTTGCTAGCTGCTGCCGTGCTTGCCACACCGCTTGCACGAGGGTTCTACCTGCCAGGAGCCGCGCCAAACGCCTTTGTCGACGACGAACTCGTACCCCTCTTCGTCAATGCGCTCGGGAGTCATCCGCGATGGGGCGGAGAGACGTCGGGCTTCGTGCCGTGAGTCGTGATCTCTCTATCATTCAGCGGGCGCGGAGAAGCAGGGAGGACGAGACGACGTCGCTTCAATCGCTTGTGGGGCTCATGAGACGAGCCAGGCGAACCAGGCAGACCACGTAACGGTACTGCGCTGACCTAGGCGTGATGAGCGAGGCGGAAAAGGGCGTACTGATCCGCCGCTTCCGCAGCTACGACGCCTATGACGAGCGGATACCCTTCTGTCGACCCGCCTCTCTTCATCCTCAGCCCCTCTCGCTCGGTTCCGCCGTCATGGGCGACCGCCTTTACAACTCTGACTTTGACCTGCACATGCGGCGGAACGAGACGTGCAAGACGCTATGCACGACGACCATCTCGCCAAACCAGACCGACTTTCTCCAATCCCTCATCCGAGATTATGCGCACAACTGGGTTGTCGACGGCCTACCCGCAGCAGAGATGCGAGCAGATGGAGCGGGGCGGACACTGTACTCGTCAGGATTTCCCGTCGGCGGTTACCGCACCGTCCTTACGCCCGAAGCGCCCGAGGCCGCTCCTCGAGAAACCTTTGAGCTGTACAATCACTTCCAAATCGTGATCGAGTATCACCCACGGCCCAAGGAGGGCGCAAGTCGCATCGTCGGCGTTTTGGTCTGGCCGCAGAGCATCGACTCGCTGAAGGGCAGCAGGCTTTCAAGTCCGGATTGCGATGCGACGGGAACGTTCGCGGTCGCGGCAGGTGACAGAGCAAAGAACGTGGCGTATACGTACGATGTTTACTGGCGGGTGCGTACGGAAGACTTGCCCACGCAACTTCCGCTGACCGCTCTCGCGCAGGAATCGGCGACACCGTGGGCGACTCGGTGGGACTCGTACCTGCGCATCGTAGAGCCTCGCATTCACGTTCTCGCACTCATCAACTCGATCGTCATCTGCCTCTTCCGTAAGTCGCGCGTCTCGTCCCGCTCAGTCGGGTCGGTACTGACGTCCCCTTCACAGTCTGCCTGATGGTCGGCATGGTCCTCCTCCGCGCACTCAATCGCGATATTACGAAGTACAACGCGGTCTCCTCATCCGCCTATGATCTCGACCTCGACCCAGCAGACCAGATCCAGGACGACTCAGGCTGGAAGCTCTTGCACGGAGAGGTCTTCCGTCCGCCGAAACGACGGATGTGGCTCTGCATCACGGTCGGAACGGGTGCGCAGGTCTCGGCGATGTTTGGTGTCACGTTACGTGCGTTGTCAATTCTTCCTCTCCCGGTCGAACTGGCTAACGTGTCGCTTTACGAAAACAGTTTTCGCCCTCCTCGGCTTCCTCAGTCCCAGCAACCGCGGCGCCTTGACGACGGTCATGATCATCTGTTGGACGCTCTTTGGCGTGCGTTCGTCTCCCCCCTCAGAGGTTCGCGACTTCTCACTGATGATCCGCTCCGACAGTTTGTCGCCGGCTACGTCTCTTCACGCCTGTACGTCACCATGAACGGAGACGCAATCCGCAAGAACATCATCTATACCGCCCTCGTCTTCCCTTCGTGCGTTTGCTTTTCCTCAGACTCCACCCGCTCAAGCGCTGACCGTCTTTCTCGTGCAGCGTCCTTTTCGCCTTCCTCCACCTTCTCAACTTCTTCCTCATCGGCTTGCGTTCAGCCGGCGCCGTACCCTTCGGGACCTTCGCGGCGATCGGCGCGCTGTGTACGTCTCGTTCAGCAGCCGCTCGTCCAATTCCGCACTCACGCTCGTTAACGTGCGCAGGGTTCGGCTTGCACGTCCCTCTCACGATTGTTGGTGGCTGGATTGGAGTGAAGCGAGGCGTCAGTCCCTTGCCGCTTGGGAAGACTCGCACCATGCTGACTTTCCCTCCTGACAGCCCATCACGAACCCGATGCGAGTGAACCAGATCCCTCGACAGATACCGACGGTCGACTGGTGGCTCAGGCCCATCCCGTCAGCCTTGATCGCGGGCATCTTACCTTTCGGTGCGTCCAGCCCGCTTTGACCGTCCCCTCGCATCGCTAAGCATGCTCTTCGCGCAGGCGCCGGCTTCATCGAGATCAACTACCTCATGCAGTCCCTCTTCGGCGCGAAGGCATACTACGCGTTCGGCTTCCTCGCCCTGACCTCCCTCGTCGTGGCGCTCACGACCGCCTTGACAACTGTCCTCTTTACCTACTTCCACCTGTGTGCGGAGGACTACCGGTGCGTACGCCGCTGAAACTACAAGGCGCATGCTGAGACTGACTTCTGGCCCGCTCACGCAGCTGGCAATGGCGAAGTTTCGTCACCGGCGCCGCTTCGTCCGTCTACGTCTTCGCCTACGGCCTGCTCGCTTGGGCCTCGCGTCTCCACTTGCCCGGCTTCTCGAACAAGATCCTCTTCCTCGGCTACTTGACCTTCGTTGCCGGACTCGAAGCCATCGTGACGGGAACGGTCGGGTTCGTCGCGACTTGGGCTTTTTTGCGGGTCATCTAGTGCGTTTCGCTCTCCCTCCTTTCTGCTGCCGCATCGCTGACGATATCTGGTCCTTCCGCAGTGCTCGCATACGGATAGACTGACCTGCTGTAGACACTGCGGTTCCGCGCGAGAACGAGTCGTCGTCGTCCGCTTCCGCTCTCGGTTCGTGTGCCTTGCCTCTGTTGTCTCTGTATGCTTCTCCTGCTCGAAGTGGAACCCACAACAGCTCGGATGCGAGATGCGTCGAAGTTGATTCTCCTCTCGCGGATCTCTCTTCGCCTCCAACGTGTTGCGTCGCTCGCTCCGACGGCCTCGCTGCCTCGTTTGAGACGTAAGACCGGCCCAGGCACGCTATCCTGCGCCCTCAGCACCGCTCGCGATGGCTGCCACCCCGTCCCCGTCTTCATCGCCAAATCGCGCATCGCTCGACAACTTGCCTACCGAGCTGCTCAAGCACATCGTGGAGCTCGTTAAGCAAGACATGCATTCGTACAACGGTCTCAAGCGCGGCTCATATCGCAGGCAGGAGGTCGGCACGGTCGAGCACTCGATAAACGACCAGCTCCCGTCTGTCCAGGTTGTGTGGTCTAGCTGGTATGGGCGGGAATTGGAGGCTCTTTCGAGGGTCAACAGACGTCTACGGAAACTGTGCATGCCGCATCTCGTCGAGGTGCGCGCTTTCTATCCCTCGAGCAGCTCGCAGCTCATCTCCCTTCGTCCAGGAAATCACCTACAAGCAGCTCGCCGCGCCTTTCGGCACGTACCGACTTCCGCAGTTCGCCTACACACCGTACATTTGCTCTCTCACCTTGGGCCTATCCTCCGACAACGCGACGCCCTACGCCGAAATCGCCTTTCTCCTCCCGCATCTCACCGGTCTCGACTCGCTCACCGTGTCCTCCGCGATGCTCATTGGGCTCTTCAAGAAGCAAGGGATACGGCCGGAGCCCCCCGCTCGCCAAGAGTACACCATCGAGGCTTTCGAAGCACTTTCGACACGACTCGTTCGGCTGAAAGTCGACAGCATGTCCAGCGCTGATTACCTCGGCAACATTCTCCCTCAAATCACATCGCCAAGCGTTCTACGACATCTCGAGCTTGATGGCAGCCTGGCCAGCCTCTGGTACAACGAGGACAGCGCGAATAGCGCTTTGCGGGGTTACCTGCTCACGCTTGTCGCGCTCGAGTCTCTCAAGATTGACCAGCATGGACGCGAGGACGGCGCCGGGCCTCTCTTCAAGGTTACGCAGGAATGGCAGGACGGTTGGCGAATGCCCTCGTTGCGTCAATTCGAGCTGCGGACGTACGCAGCGCCCTATAGGGTCGTTCCCTTCCTGGCACAGGCCATGCCGAACCTCGAGCGACTCTCCCTCGATGTTGTCGAGCCCGACCATCCGGCCCTGGACTGGGATCAGGTTGCGGCCGATGTCGAATCGGTCGACTGGCGACACTTGCGGTCTTTCTCGATGACCGGCGAGAGCACGCTCTTTCGCCCTACTCTCACCTCGCTCTCCACCTGCCCCAAACTTCGTTTCGTCCATCTCGAGCCGCAAGATACCTACAGCAGCGCACCACACGAATTGCTGCCGGCAACCTTCCCACCCAATCTGCGCCGCCTCATTTACCATTGCAGCGTCGGCGAATACGGGGAGGCCGAGGCTCACCAACCCGGAGTGTTTGCGGAATACTGCACCGAGCGCGGCGTAGCTCTGGAGTGGCGCATCTGGCAGGGGATGTACTCGAGCTACGCGTGGCTGAAGGAGCAGGAGGCGCTCAAGTGGCACACATGGGTACCGCAGCTTGATCCCGAGTGCCAAGGCCTCAAGGACTACCTACAAGAGACCCTCAAATGGGCAAGGCGCCGACTCGATCATCTCCTCGCCGTCGACGACAAGGCGGCCATTCGGGAGATGATGACGGCGATCCAGCCGCTGGAGGAGCGCCGCTACATCGAGCGCGGCTTGCTGTACATTGACCCGGACGCGTCGCGCGAGGATAGTTGATCGGCTGGACGAAGATGGTTTGTAGACGGGTCGTCGTGCAAGCGTGCTGGTCGGCATCCGCTCCCGCTCGCTGTCCGTAGACCTGCTTTGCATTTCTCGTCACTCTCCCATTGAGAGCGTGTGAAGAAGCGAAGGCTGGCTTGCAAGACTACTGTCGCTTCAGGAGGTCGCGCTGCTTGCTCCTCGTCCACTCGCCCGCTACCGCTCCGAGACTGTCTTGCTGTCTGCACAGCTACTTCTACCCACCCGCAACGTCCCCAGCCATCCCACTCAGCCCACGATGCCGCCTGCGCCCGACTCGAACCCCTCGTCCTCCTCATCAGTTCGACGCGCCTCCTTCGACAACCTGCCAACCGAGCTCCTCAAGCGCATCGTCGAGTTCGCCAGTCACAGCAGGGGCGCCGGCGAGGACCTCGAGCGGGCGACGCATCCCGCTGCGAGGGCGGGGTCACCTTCGCTCGCTCACTGCGCATCTGGCGACACAACGGCTTACGTTCAGTGGTCGTACTAGCATGGGCGCGACTTGGAGGCGCTGTCGTTCGTGAACAAGCGCTTGAGGTCGCTCGCGATGCCGAATCTTGCCGAGGTCAATCTCGTTCTCCTCCTCTTCCCGCGACAGACAGGCTGACACTTCCCTCGCCCGTGCAGACCATCACTACCGATCAACTCGTCAAACCGTATGCCACCTACTGTCTCGCCGACTTCCCGTACCAGAGCCAAATCCGCACGCTCGTCACGCCGCCATCTACCGTTCACTCGTACATTGCCGTCGCGCCGTTGTTCCGCCACCTTACCGGCCTCAGAAGCCTCCAACTTGACGCCACAATGGTCAGTGAGCTGTGCCAGCCATTCCTCGGGCGCGACCTGCCTTCGGACGTCAAGCTTGCCCGCGAGTTTGCACGAGTTGCTCTCGAACAACTCGCGCATCGCGTCAGCCGACTTGCGCTTTTTGGCATGGAGTTCAAGGCGCCCCTGGGTCGAGTCATCGCCTCGCAATTGATTGCGCCGGCCCAGATCCGGTATCTCCGGCTGGAAGGCGACACTGCGTCGTTGTGGTGGAACGACAACCCGCAAGACTGGCACGCTTTCCTCGGCAGACTTTCGAGCCTTGACTCCCTCGAGATCCACCACATCGGTTTGTTCGGCGAAGCTAGAAATCCACAAATCTGGCTTCGCCCGGCGAATCGCGTTTGGCAGGACGCGTGGCGGATGCCCAACCTGCGGCGTTTCGTTCTGACTACGCCTGCCTCGCCTTCGGTTGTCTTACCGCTTCTCTCAGTCGCACTTCCCAACATCGAGGAGCTGCAGCTCAAGTTTGTTGAGCCGGAATACGACGAAGTCGACGAGGACGAGTTCATGGCGACGATGGCGCCGTTGGAGTGGCCGCACCTCAAGACGCTCGCCCTCACGTGCTCCTGTAACCTTTTGCGAGCGCTCCTCCCCAACTTCCGCTCTTGCGTCAGCCTGCGGCACCTCCGCTTCTCACCAAATGACTACCTTGATGCATACGAGAAGCTCGTCCTCAACTCGCTTCTGCCGCAGATACGCCGCCTGACCATCTATGTCAGGTCCGATAATCCCTGGACTGGCAGAAGCTGGGACTTGCTGGAGCAGGAGTGCGCGGTGCGGAAGGTCGACCTCGAATGGCGACCTGTGCGCTGGCGATGGGACGAGCTGCGCAACCGGCAAGACCACTACCTGCAAGGATGGCCCTCCGACGAGTCTTGGTCGACTTACCCGAAGGATGCGCTGCTCGACGACCTCGACTGGGCCGTCCGACGCCTCGACTCGCTGCAGCAGACCGGCGACCTTGACGGCTACAAGGAGATGTGCGCCATCCTCGACCCTCTTCGGCAACGTCACTTCATCGAGCGCGGCGCGCCGACCGTCGTCAAGGGCGAGGACGAGGACGAGGTCAACGTACGGACGAGCCGTTTCTGAGCTGTTGAAACGCGACTTCGTTCAGCGGCGTCCAATGTGGCGGGCTGAGGAGAGTCTCTTCCCCTCGGCGTTGCGCAAGCTCGCCAAGGAAAGGTTTACGCGTTTACGGCTTACGAGAGCAAGCGAGCCCTTGTCGTCGCCTCCTCCTTCTCTTCTTGCTCCCTCTCCCTCATCGTCCGCACTCTTGCTTCTCGCTCTTCGATACTTTTCGAAGCTACGCATCGACGCCAGCTGTCCACCTCCCGCTCGCGACTTCGCTCCCCACCTCCTCGCCTTCTCCCGACGAACACTCCGTCATCATGTCGAAATCGCTCTTCCTCCTCGGGACAGGCTTCATTGGCGGGTCTGTCCTGGTCGCACTGCTCGACAAGGGCGAGTACACCATCAGCGCACTCTGCCGCGATGAGAAGAAGGCGGACAAGCTGCGCGAGATGGGTGTGAGGCCGGTCATGGGCGAGTTGAGCAGCGACGAGGTCATCTCGAAGGAGGCGGCGGCCAGCGACGTGCGTGCGAGATCCACTAGGGTCAAGAGGAGCTTGCTGACGATCTTGCGTGCGCAGATCATCATGCACATCGCGACGGCCGACGACCTTCCCTCCGTCAAGAGCATCCTCAAGGGTCTCTCGCAGCAAGACTCGTCCAAGCCGCCCGCGCCGTATACGTCCACACGTCCGGGAGTGCGTCTTGTACTCGAAGCGACAGAGACGAGAGAAGATTGCGCTGACACGCGCCTTTTCTGCACTTCCCAGCGGGAGTCTTGACGACTCCTCATCCCGATGACATGATCTTCAACGACGGAGACCAGACCAAGTTTGACAAGGAGATCCCGGACGACGCGCCGCACCGTAACGTCGACTTGACGATCAAAGATGCCGTCGACAACAAGAAGGTCAACGCGAAAATCGGCATTGTGGGCTCGCCCTGTGATTCACCTGCGTGATACACAGCTGACAGGTTTACCGTGCTCATCAGATGCTCCCGCCGCTGATCTACGGTATCGGAACCGGGTACGTTTCTCTCGCAGTCTTTCGCTCCCACGCTCTTCGCGAGCTCTCCCTCTTCCAGCTACTCCTTGCCTGACGTCCGACCCTCTTCCGGCTTGCACGTGCGCAGACCCTTCAACCAGATCTCGATGCAGATCCCGTGGTGGCTGCAAGAGTCAGTCAAGAACAACAAGGTCGTGCGGTAGTCAGTCTTGCGCCGTGCTCTCCAGCATCGAACGGTGCTGATGCCTGTCTCCCCATTCTGCGCAGCGGACCTAAGAAGCGATGGAACAACATCAACGTGAGCCTTCCGCGGTCGAATTCCTCGAGATTGTCGGCTAACGCTCGTCTCGCAGATCCGCAACCTCGTCCCGGCATACCTCACCCTCCTCTCCCACCTCGAGCAAGTGGACACTTCCAAGACGCTCTACCACATTGCCGAGACGGCCGAGCACCAATGGGGCGACATCGGTACCCACATGCACAAGGTCCTCACCGAGAAAGGCTTGATCTCGGGCGGAATCGAGGACAAGGACGAGGCGTCGCAGGAACTCGCGGGCGTTGGATCGCAGAGCAGGGCGAAGAGCGAGTTGTTGCATGAATTTGGGTGGAAGGTCGGGAAGGAGAAGAGCATTACGGAATCGATGTCGGACGAGATTGACTTGATGCGCAAGCTCGGGCAGCTGTAGCTCGCGGGACGCGTGAGATGTACAAGAAAATGATGATTGCAGTTCTACAGAATGCATTGGGAAGGACTACGAGCCGATGCGAGAGGAGACGGGGGAACAAGGGAGGGCGCGAGAATGCTTTTGGGCAGGAAAGGAGAGCTCGTCTATGGACAAGGGAATCTGATGCGAAGGGAAGAGGAAGAGGGAGACTGCGAAGACGAGACAGGCGGTCGGTCGAGGATGTTCGGCAGACGAGAAGGCGAGCGCTCCTTAGCCAAGGACGGAGCGGGTCATAGTCGACTGCGAAGCCGTCTTCTCGTCGTGCTGCTGTGCGTGGATCACAGTGTGCGTCGGTTGAGGAGACGTAGTCGTCGACGTCTTGCTGTGGTGGTGCAGGAGGTCGAGGTGCGGCAGGTCAAAGAGACGCTTGCGTAGACGACGACGGCGACCCGGGTCGATCATGTTCGGGTTGCCCTGCGCGCAGAGCTGTGTGCAGTGACGTCAGCGATGAATGCAGAGAGAGGCGAGAATAGGCGCACCTGGTAGTTCGCCTCCGGGATCTTGAAGTTGCGGATCACGTCGGGCTGGATGACCAAAGCGCCGAAGAGACCTTGCGCTTGGTGGAAGACGATGTCTGTGAAACATAAGTGGGGAGAAAAGGGCCTCAGTCGCAAGTAAGGGGAGAAAGTGGGAAGGGACGAACGACAGTGGAAGGCGTGCACGCCCGGAACGTCGGCGACGAGCCTGATGAGCACCCATTGGCCCGAAGGCAGACCGAGCGTGTCGCGACGGAGAGGGTTGTAGGTGTTCAGGTCGAGAGAAGCGATCGTCCTGCGCGCGGGAAAGTTCAGCTTGGCGAGAGGAGTAGAAGAAGAAGAGACGGAACGTACTCGGGCCCGACGCTTCCTTGACCGCGCGCCATAATCCAGAACGGTTTGCCGTGAAGGTGGAAGGGATGCTCCGGTCCGTTCAGATTCTGGATGACGATGTCGACGGTCTCGACGTTCCAAGCTGTGATCAAGGCGATGCGACCGGTGTTCGGATCCTCGCCGCGGACGATCTGGTGGAGGAGCGGGCTGTGCGAGTCAAGAGTCAGAAAGATAAGGTTATAAAGTGAGGCGAAGGCGAAGACGCACTTGTAGGCAAAGTTCTCGCTGCAAAGCGCGACGAGCGGCAAGGTCAGCAGGACTCGACCGAGTAGTGAAGCGACTTCGACGCACTAGGTGATATTGTTGAGCGTCCATTCGAGGAAGCTTATGCCGTCGCTGAGTCCCGCTTCATCGGTCGTCGTGAGAGGTCCGATTCGCGACGAGTTGAAGAACGAGATCTGGTCGGCTTGAGGCGGAGCGTGCTGGACGACGATTGGCTCGAGCAGCCCTGCGCGATTCCAGGCGTCAGCACAGAGCGGAGAAACTTGAGGATACGACGCACTCTCGTCGAGGTCAGTGCAGTTGCCAGTCGTCGGGTCGTTCCAGTCGCGGCTCCTCGGCAGCGTCCTTGCGAGTCGGTGACCCTCATCAGCGATGCGGATGACGATGCGAGTCTGCGGGTCAAGGTCGGGAAAGCCAGCGCCGAAGCAAGCCGTATTGATTTGCGCGCGGAGGTAGAACGAGTCGCCGATGCGGTGGCCGGAGGTGAGGAGGACGCCCGAGTATCTGCGAGCGTCTGACCGTCAGCGGAGTTCGTACGAGCTGACGTCGAGGTGGCATCGAACCTCTGCGCGACGTTCTGCAGGCGGGAAGTCAGCATCCGCCGAGCTGGAGACGCATGAGAGGAAGTACGCACGACAGGAATGCGATGGACTGCAACGGGTAGCGTCGGCGTGTTGTCGGCCTCTGTGGGCGGAGGGAGAGTCAGAAGACTTCGGTAGCGGAAGTGTCGAGGGAACGCACCGACGATGTACAGCTCGTGCTCGTCGACCGAAACCCAGTTGACGGCTGGGAAGGAAGGGGTCAGCGAAATGCTTTTGTCAACGCCACGGAGTGACTCACGGTGCGCGCCGGCGTTGATGAAGCGGAGGCGGACTCGAGCGTCGGGCGGGAAGCGGAGTTCAGGCATGTCGCGCTGCGTCCGCTGCTCGCAAGTCGAGCCGCGGTCGGCAAACTGGCAGTTGTAGATCGCGACGCCGTTGACGAGGCCGGACTGGGGCGAAGGCGCAACGAAGCTCTGCGAGGAGAAGGTCAGATTCGTCCGCAGTCCGACGAGAATCGGTACGTACCGAATTGTAGCCTTGCGACGACAGCAGCGAGTTTACGATCGTGTCGGTCGTGTCGTGGTACCAGTCGTTGATGAAGATGATCTGCGAGGCAGAGAGGGAAGGTGATTAGGAAGGTTGACAGGAGAAGCGGACGAGGCGAAGCGGACGGACGCACCTGGTCGATGTCAAAGTCGCGGCCGCGCACGAGCGGGTCGAGGGAGGAATGAATGATGAGCGGACCGGTGATGCCATCGCTGTAGAGGGCGCGGCGATGGGCGTGCCACCACTGCGAGGCGAAGTCGTTGGACCGCGGGAGCGGGAAGCAAGGCGAGGTGAGGCGAGGCAGAGATGGGGCGGACGAGACGAAAGCATTGTGCGAAGGAGGTGACGCGAAGTCAGCCACGAGAACGGAGGAAACGGGAGGAACAGTCTCGACGCACGAAGGTCCCGTACTCGAGCTCGCCCGTGATCGGAAACTGGTACGTGTACGATTGTCCGCTTCCGATCGGGCACTGCGTGACGCCCGACGGACCGTCCTCCCAGTTCGTGCCGTTCTGCGTGAGTCCCTGCGAGATTAGGCCAGGTCAGCGTCGTGGGTACGAGGAGTTTGAGCGAGCGTGTGAGGCACATGCCAGTGGATCGTGATTGGCTGGTCGAGCGAGTTCTGAACGTGGACGACGATCAAGTCGCCTGCGAGCGAAGTCGGGTCAGCTCATGGGAGGTGAAGGAGCGAGAAGGTAGACCCACCGTTGTTCGCCTCGATGAGCGGTCCGGGGAACTGTCCGTTGACGAGAAGCCTGCGAACAAAACGGGAGTAAGTCAGCTGGTAGAGGCGGCAGTCGAGACGAGACGAACATGGGACGCAAGTCTGCGCGAAAAGCGACAACAACGTCAGCGACGTGGACGGCCGAGAGCGAAGGAACGGATACGCACATCCATCCGGCGCTCCCGGGTGCTCGGCGATGGTCCACCAGTACTCCCTCGTTTGCGGCGCAGCGTGAACGTCCCAGTCGGGCGAGAGGCGCAGCTCATCGAGCTTGCTGATCATGGGCGGGCCGGACGGGCGACGGCTGCTGTAGTCGGAGGACATGGAAGGCGACGTCGAACCGGGCGAGGAGGGCGCGCTGGAGGCGTAGTCGGCGCCGTTGCGACCAGTCGATCCAACTGAAGCGGGACTCTGGGCGTTGCGGCCCGGCGACGCCTTGGCAGCGTTTCCGGTGCTGTCGTCGTCATCGTCGAACCAGTCGCTCGAATCGTCGCCGTTTGTCGAGGTCGAACCGGCGGAACCGAAGGCGGGAGGAAAGTTGATCTCAGTGCCGGTCAAGGGAAACTTGGCGACACGGTTGCGGTTCGAGGCGGCGGGCTGGGCGGCGACAGACGACGTCGGACGGCGAGGAGGACCTTCGCTGCGCAGAGGCGAGCGGTCGCAGATTGGCCAGCTCGGCTGGACCTGCGCGCAGTAGGTATCGGCGACGCCTGCGCGGAGCAAAGCGGTGTCAGCGCGCGTGTGTACGTCAGACTGAACTCGAGTACTCACAGCATGGCGACTCCCTCGAGGTCCCGCCGTTCTGGCTGAGGCAGTAGGCGTAACCTTCCTCCGCCCTCGCGCACGAGCAACCTTCCGGACCTGCCAGCGAGACCTGATCAGCATCCACCTCTAGCACTGAGAGAGACCGGCAACGCACAGCAGACCGGAGAGACGTCCTTGATGCCGCTGCACGAGGCGTATCCGAGCGGGCACTTGTTGAGGTCGCGAGCCGAGACTTGAGGTGCGCTCAGCGCGATGGCGAGGACGATAGAGACACCGGCAGCGCCCAGCGCCTTGAGACCGACCCTGCTGAGCATATCCTGGCTCCTCCGGTTGACGACGAGAAGCGCGAGGTCGCTATGCGGGTCGGGGTGAGGCGGCGAGCGTGGAGGAACGTGCGGATCGGCGAAGCGCGGAGTATTTGCGGGTCGTGTAGGGATAGCGGGTAGTGTTTGCGGGTCTCGTAGGGTCGGTCGAACTCGTCGTGGAGGAAGAGAGAACAGGTGCGCTTCTCCAGCGCAGCGCCTCGGCTGCGAGATGGGCGCAAGGGCTGCTGTGCGACGCATACAGTCTCATACCGAATACACGGTGCGCTGTATGCGCGAGGTCGAGGTGGGACGGCGACAGAGGCGGTAGGACGAGGCGATTTGGGGGCACTCGCGCGCGCACGGCGAGTGAGGTTTGGCTTCGATGGCGAGAGCAGCGTAGGAGATGCCTCACACATCGCAGCTAGCCCTAGCAAGCTCCGCGCCGCCAGTATCAGCGGAGAAAGCGGCAGGAACTGATGAAGTCGAGGAGCGGTGACAACGCTGTGCGGGCGGCTGCGAGCAGTTGGGCACGCATGTGAACCACGCACAAGCTGTGTGTGGTTGCCGTTCGCCTGCAACGAGCGTGAGCGGTGAGCAGGCGAGGTGAAAGAGCGTTCGCGGACGAGGAAAGGACGCTTTGGCTGGTCAGCACGCTTTCGCAGGGCCTTCTCGTGCTGTACAGCAATCAAGCATGCGTCTGCAAGCAAGCAGGGCGAACCAGCGAGACCGGCGAGGATGAGGATGAGGACACGAAGGGATCGTTGCGAGTCGTGAATGCTTGTGAGATACTGCACGTCTACTGAGGGATACTGCCCGCTCAAACCTCCGCTACCATGCCCATGCACCTGCGAGAGTGGAGGGGAGTTAGCACAGGACCGCAAAAGCTCGACGAAGAGAAGGCGAGTCTCCGTCAACGCACCTGGCTCAGACGAAAGCCAATCCTGGTCAAGAGCGCTTTTGTACATCCACCCGTCAGGCTTCGTGCCGCTGCCGGACGCGCCATCGTTCGTCCCGTCGACCATCCCGCTGTTCTCGCCAAGCCCAGTCGCATCCTCCCTCGACGGCGTCGATCCTCCCGCCGTCGCATTCATGGGCCCAGGCTCGTGAAACAAGTCCCACAAGGCATGTGAGTCGGACGGCGGGAGGTTGAACAGGCTCGGCGCGGAGGGGAAGAGCAAGCCCTGTTCTTGCGCTTCGAGGAGGGCGTGAGTCGGGACTTCGGCGGCGGCAACGCTCATGAAGGGCGAAGTCGAGCCTGTGAGGCCGGTCATGGAGGTTTGGGTGTTGGCGGGAGTGGAAGAACCCGGCGAGTTCGGGTTGGAGAAGAAGCTGGGGCAACCGCTACGAGAAGATGGTCGGCTCGGTTTCGGAAGGTCGGCCTGTAGCAGCGTCCGGATACGCGTGCCGTGCAGTGTAGCGAGAGTTCGGCTGCAAGAAGGGGGCATGAGCATGACCCCGTTGCGGGGCAAGCGCAAGCTGTTCGGACGCACACTGTTGGTCGGACTGCTCCCGCTCGAAGGAGGACGTCGGCGGTCGCAGCGCAAACCATCTTCGTTTCGTGGTCTATCGGTCCAGGCTTCGCGGCGGCGAGCTGTGAGAGACGTCGTCAGCTTGGACGAGCGAGAAGACTGCAGGCGCGGAAGCGGAAGCTGGACTGACTCGGAGGAGAAGGGTCGCAGCGTATCTGCAAGCGGAGAGAGAGTGAGCACGACATCAATCACGTAGTGGGTCTGTGGATACGCACGCGATGTTGACGACCATCAAGTTCGACGCATAAACGAGACTTTGATCAGGCCAGTTGAGCGCCATCTTGACCGTCTCGAACGCCGACTGTCGGCACTCCTCGAGCACGGGCGTGACGGGTCCTTTGAAGCGGAGCGAGATGGAGGTGAGGATGGTCGTGTTGTGCTGGGCGATGAGGCGGACGAAGGGGTCTGTCGGGCGTCCACCATCAGCCGGGCACTCGAGCGACAGGAGGAGCAAAAACGCACTGATATGCCGCCACCGACCCATCCACTCCGTCAAGTCTCGCTGCCACGCCTTCTGGAACTCTGGTCTCAAGCGCGAATCGTGTCCCTCCTCGCTGTCCTGCAAGCTATTCGAGTGCGTGATCGCCTTGGCCTGCCGCAGAAGCTATCGTCAGTTACGCGTCGTTGCGAGCATGAAAGGGAGGGAATGCACATAGATCCGGTTCAGCGAGACGAGCGCAGCGACGCTATAGTCCGGATCCTCGGGTCGCATGTCCTTCGGCAGCGGCGCGCCTGGAGTCGAGACTGACAGGCCCGAAACGGATCCTAGCCGGCCAGTCGAGACGCATAGCCTGCGACGCCGTCCAAGCGTCAACCCCACGGGAAGTCGAGAAAAGGCCAGGAGTGGGGGCAGGGTACGCACGCAATCTCCGCCACGAACAACAACTTCCAACTCCACGCCCTCGTATCCGACAGCGCAGCGAAAGCGCCTTCTCCGAGCGGCGTGACGGAGCGGTAGAAGTCGTAGGTGATCGTGTTGATCTTCTTGTGGAGCTTGATCTCGGTCGCGATTCGCCTGCGTGCGGAGGGGGTCAGTCGAGAGAGGAAAGGAGAGAGAAGCGCGAAGGACGCACAGCGCCTGCCCGAGCCAGCCCCAGCGTCGGTCGTCGCCCCAGTCGTTCTCGATCGCCGTCCAGTGGCTGCGTACGCAACGAGGTCAGCACACCAGCCCGCTCGACGGGATAACAATTCGAGGCGACTCACATGAGCAACAAGTAAGCCTGCACAATTTCCAGACTCTTCAGTCCCTCTGCCCAAACCCTCTTGCTCAGCTCCAGCGCATGGTCATGCAGAGGCGTGACGACATGGTGCAAGTCGGGTATGAAGGACGAGACGATGTATGCGAGGGAGGTGGCGAGGAAGGGGGAGGTGTCGCGGATGAAGCGGGGTGTGTGGAGGGACGGTGACAGGTGGAAGACGAAGGGGCGGAGGGAGGTGAAGTAGCTGCGGGGCGAAGGGCTTTAGCGAGTCGTGAAGTGAAGCGTTGAGAGGCACGCACAATTCGACGACGCGCTCAAAATCGCGAGCGGAGAGGATGCCAACGTTGACAGGGTCGTAAGCCGGATCCGCGTCTGACCGCAGCTGGTACAGTCCTGCAGGCCCGACCTCCTCGTCAGCAGCGCTCACATCGCAACCAAAACCGCACGCACCCGTCGCAAAGTACCCCTCGGCCGCCGATCCCGACTCGTTCTCCCCACTCCGTTTGGGCAAGAACCTCTTCCCGCTCTCCTCCTCCGTACTCTCGCTAACCTTCAAGCTCGAGATATGCGCCAACACCGCCAGAGGGGACTCGATGACGCTCTTGAGCTCGCGAGAAGTCGGGTCGTCGTCGTCTGTCCCTTCGTTCGAGGCTGCGGCGGAACTGGAGGAGGAGAGCGACTTGAGCGCTTGGAGGGGCGGGGACAGGAGACCGCTGATCGAGGGCTTGACGTCGGTCGGAGTGGCGGACGGTGATGTGCCGAAGAGCGCAGAGGGACCGGGCTGTCGCTCGGCGAGGATGGCGAGGGCCGCTTCGATGTCGCGGTGGCAGTTTTCGAGCATGTGCTGGTTCCTGCAGGCTCAGAATTGTCAGCATGGACGAGCGTAGACGACAAAAATGGAGCGCACGGCGTCATTATCCGTTTCCGCCCTCGCTTGTTGAATAGCGGATACGAGCACTCCAACCCGAGCTGCGCGCATCGTCCACACCTCGGCTCCTCCTGATTGCACTTTGACTTGCCAACTCGACAATTCGAGCATGCGCCACTGCGGGGTGCAGACGGCGGAGCTTGTCGAGACGGCCGGGCGTCAATGTTCCCTTGGTGCATGAGTTGCGAGATACCTTCTCGCGAGCGGCGGAGGAGGGCCACGGGGTCTGACAGGGGTGGAGGCGGTGGAGGGGGGATGAAGGGTTGTTTTGAGGGTTTTGAAGAGCCGGCTGCGCTGGTCGAGGCGGTGGGAGGAGAGGCGGGAGAGGCGGATTGCGACGAGGGAGGGAGGTCATGCACGCCGATCGAGGGAGTTTCGACCTTGGGCGAGATGGATGAGACCGTATCAGGCGACGTCTGCGTCGACGTGCTCTGTATGGGCGTCGCAAGCGAAAGCGGGTAGCCCGGCGCAGGGGTGTTGTTCAGGAGCGTGCGGAGGCCATAGTGCTGCTGCTGGTACGCCGCGAGCGGGTGCATCTGCGCTTGATGCGCCTGTGTCGACGGTGGCGGCGGCATGATTGCTGGACTCGGTGCGACGTTGCTGATGGGTGGATAGCCTGGAAAGACGGGAGGCGAGTGGTGGTGGTCCATCTGTGGGGCGTGTCCTCGCGCGATGAGCGGGTTCCGCTGGATCCTCAACACTTTACGCACCTTGACAATCCTATTTGGCACTCGTCAAACCCTGCCCGTCGCCTCGCACCCGTACAAGGACCTCCTCCAACTCCCGATCGAGGTCAAGTTCTACGGGGCGGCGAGACAAGCGGGCGGCGCGTGGGTGGCTGTAATCGAGTCGTAGCAGTGTCCCGAGCGTGTCTAGCAGCAGTCCAAGCGAGTCGTTCAGCGTCAACGGCGAGTGCGCGGAGATTCCAAGTTGCGGAGATGAGCGGCTTCGGGGAGAAGAGAACCGGTGCAGAAAACGACTCGCAACCATCCGGGCACTGCTAGCATGGCTTACTGCAGTCAAGACATCCTACTCGTCGGCTGGAACCGCTTCCGCCCCTCTTGGAAGCGCGCCACGAGGTCGTCTCCTCGTCGTCCCCGCCCTCTTCCTCGTCCGGCTCAACTTGCTCGCTCAGAACACGCTTGACTGGCTCGCTTGCTCTTCGAAGGACTACTCAGACGACATGACTACCCAGCACAACCACTCGCAGTCGGACTGGAGGGCTGTGGGCGGCGGAACAGGGCCTCTCGTTCACTCGAGCGATGAGGAACAAGCGACTTCTTCTGCTCGCCGGGATGGCTCGCAAGGTACGTCGCGGCTTCTAGCGACTCGACAAAAGCGCCGCCGAAGTCGACGCTGACTCGACAGCCTCGTCTGCAGAGCCGATAGCTCCTCCTCGACTCTCCCTCACCTCCCTTCCGACCGAGATCCTCGACAAGGTCTTCTCCTGCATCGACTACGACATTTACTTCAATCCCAGCAGACGAGTCGACCAGGTCCTGGTCAACAAGCGCATCTTTTCGGTCGCCTACCCGGTATGGATGCGCCGGATCACGGTCTCCTCGTTTATTCAGCACGACGGACGCGACGCCGCCCTCGCTGGATTGTTGATACATAAGTCCTCGGCGTTCATCAAAGTGCTCGCTGTCGGCTTTCAGCTGGTGCTGCCGCACTTGGAGTGCGCCATTCTGCATCACACGCCGAACCTCACCCACCTCACGGTCGACTTCGCCAATCCAGCAGACGCAATGCCTCTTCCACAGTGTTTCTTCGACGCTTTTCGCACCTTACGACATCTGGTGTCCCTTCGAATCTGCTATGTGGAGCGAGATGCGGCAGTCGACGGGTTTTCCTACGAGCGCGACGTCCCTTCGTTGCGCGAACTTGAGATCAGCGCTTACGGGCGTCTTGCGGATTGTGCGCCAGGTCTTTCGAAACTTGAGCGTCTGGAGCTCCACTGCTTCGCGTTCGGAGGATCAGCCATTCCGTGGACAACTCTTCATCATCTCGACGTCCGAAACTCTACCTTGAACAAGAGTCGGGATTACACGCCTACAGCGGTCTTTTCCGAGATTATCTCGTCCATCGAAGCTGCTCACAAGCTGTCGGTAAGTTCGCTTTCAACCTTAATCGAGTCGTGCCAACGCGCTTGTTTTGCAGCCGATCGTTTTGCGCAAGCTCGGCCTCTCCTTCGCCTCCCAAGATCCTCACCATTTGCGTGGATATGCCAGACTGCTTGGGGCGCTTGTCGTCTCGGAGATGACCGACCTCGCTATCCTTCACCTCGACTCGTTGGCTGCTTTCCAATTCTGGACTTGCAGCGCACGATTGCCCACCGTCCGGCGCCTCCAGCTAACAGGCTTCTGTACTTGCATATCAGCAGTGAGCGCGCTCGCACTTTCGCCTAGAGACCCGCTGACGCTCCTTGCGACGCAGGAAGAGCTATGCGGTTTGCGAGTTATCCTCGCGCTCTGTCCAGCTCTCGAAGTCCTCCATCTCGACTGCATTGACTTCTACCACAAGGACACCGTGTGCGACGGTGACGACGACTGGGACGACGCCTCTTTGACAGCCTTCCGTGCGAAGGACGTCAAAGACGACATCTTGACGGCCATCCAGCAGGACAACCTTCCCCTCACCTTTCCCGCCGTCTTCAAGCTCCTCATCGCCATGGAATCGACGACTGTTCTCGACCTTCGTCTTCAGATTCCGTTCGGGCAAGGCATCCGCTGTCGCAGGACGGCGAGGAACGAGGTCTTTGAGGCGGAAGGGTGGACGAGCAGCTGAGTGCGGCTGTACCCTCGTCTCCGGTATGTCAAGCTACCCGCATGGAGCATTCTGTACTTCTGTAACTCAATGTGGTTCGCTCGTCGGCGGCACAGCCGTTCAAGCGTTCAAGAGGAGAAGAGCAGCTTTCCTTTCGCTCATTCTTCGTCTCCCCCGCTTTCGCTCTTTCTGTCTCTACCTGCGACCTCTCACAAGCCTCTGCGCGGAGGCATCGACCCGACCGCATACGAAGCAAAGCGACAGACACCTTGCCCTTCCTCTCACCTTACCATACTCAATGATGCGGCCACGACGAACGCTTGCTGCCGCTGTGTGCACCTGGCTGTCTGCGGCATCGCTTGTACACGCTGCATGGGACTGCTCGGCTCTCACGGTCGGCGGGAACTCGTTCGACCTCTCCCAGGTGCGTCCTCATCGCGGAAGGGCCGTCTCTGCTCGCTCGCTGACCTGGCGGGCGTGGCGCGCAGGTCAAGGGCACGCACAGCTGGGAAGACGAAGTGCAGACCCCTCCAACTGTCACCAAGGTGCGTCGTCGCGTCGTTCTCACTCCCTCCTCCCCGCTGACCCATGACGCTGCCCTTGCGAAACCTATACCACCTCGCCGCGTCGGCTTACTAGACCCGCTACACCTTCTCTCCATGCTCGTCTCTACCCGACCCACCCTCCTCAGCACCGGACGACGACTGTCCCTCCGGCACGCGTCTCTGCATGCGCACTTTCTCCTCCCGATCAGGCCTCGAAGACCGCCTGCTGAGTGTCGTACCCGTCGCGGGGGAGATTGGGAAGGGCGAGATGGAGGTCAAGGCGGGCGAGAAGGAGGGGAAGAAGAGTAAGGAGGAGTGGGTGCTCGAGATGGGCGGGGGGAGCTACAATGGAGTTGAGCAGCGCGTGCGGGTAGACATGAAGTGCGACAAGGGTGCCAAGGAGGTGCGCAAGACGCGGTGCTCCCTGCTGTGCTTGTTGCTGATCCTCCGTGACGCAGACCTCGCCCACCGTGCAAGACTACGATTCGAAAGCCGGCGTCCTCTCGCTCTCCTGGACGACATTTGCGGCCTGCCCGACCGGCAACTCCGACCCGCCGAAGGAGGACGCACCTCGACGAGACGACGACAAGGAGGAAGACGGTGGCGCGCGGGATCCGGTCGGCAAGAGCGGCGGAATGGGCTTCTTCTCGTGGTTCTTCACCTTGTGCGTCACACCTCTCTCTTCTCTTCTGTTCTCCCTCCACTGATGCAGGTACAAGCAGACTCTTCCTCGGCCTGCTCGGCTACTTCGCCATCGGCTCGTACCACAACTACACGACCTATGGGGCGACCGGCTGGGACATGATTCCGCACCGCGACGTCTGGCGAGATCTGCCCTATGTCGTCTCCGACTTGTTCAAGGGTGCGTCGCGTTCTCGCTTACTTCTCGAGTTCGGCGCATGGACTGATGACTTGTTTCCCGTTCGTTCGCAGGACGAGGTGGATCTCGGAACGGTTATTCTGCGCTGGGTTGATTCGCGGTTCGCGTAGTCGGACTGAATGGACGTTCGTGTGCTTTGCGAACGTGGCAAGACACTCTGTACGGTGAGAGAAGCGAGCAAAGGACTTCGTCCTCCTCGTTGCAAAGCCGACTACGATCGGTCTCTGCTTGGCGTGTTCGGCTAGCGGGCTGCAGGATCCACCCGTGGGTTCTCCGCTTGTCTCGTCGGCTGCCGACAATCTCCACGGTCCAGCGAATGAAAGCTGCGTCATGCTTTTCCTTCGCTCTCCTTGGCTTGCCTCCCTCTCGCCTTTGCAACACGCTCTGCTACGACGGGACTACGACAACTCGGATGGGCTTGACAACGACGCTCAAAGACATGGTCGGCGTCCACACCGGCCCCGAAGGCCCGCGGGAGGAAGGACAGTGCGTTCCGCTCTCCTCGACACCTCCACGACGTCCCGCAGGCTGCTAAAGCGCTTCGTACGATGCGAACAGGTCGTCGTCGCTTCCTCCTGCCGGTCAGCAGCCTCCGCCGAGTCCGCATTTCCAGGGTCCGGGAGGGGAAGAAGCGCCGCAGAACGGAGGGAACTGGTGCGCTCTCGCATTCGCTTGTCTACAAGCGGGGCAAAGCTGACCGTCGTGACGTTTGCAGCGACTACGAACGAGTCGGAACGGAGCCAGCGAGCAACGGAGCGGAGGAACGAGCTGCAGCCGCGGCCTCGAGTCCGACAACTCCCTGACATCCGCTTCCCTTCACACGGCTCACCAGCTTCGCATCCCGTTCGCATTCTCGCACTCGCATACTCGACTGTACATACCCTCGCATCGTTCCCTCGCAATCGCAACAGCCTTTCGTCGTTGCTTCCGTCTCGACCGTCTGCCGCCGCGTTGAACTTGCGCCGTTGTGTCCGCTTCTTCAGCTCAATGACAAGCAGGAAGAGGCTGCAGAGGGTGTTCGACGTGGCGCTGAGCTGAAGAGGCGACAGAGGCTGTTCGACGGGCGACGGAGTCGTTGACATGTCGAGGCAGTCCCATAGCGAGCGCACAGCAGCGACAAGTGTGCCTACAGTACCGCGCGTGACGAGCTCCCCAACGAACACCCCTCCACAAGCATGGCAGATTGGAACGGCTTGAAGTCCGAGCGAAGGACTGTCGGAATCTCGAGAAAACGTGACATTGACTGACGACATAACGACAAGAAGGACACGACTGCTACAACTGGTTTGTATAGACACAACAAAGACGACTGCGGAACGAGGAGGGATTCGGCAACAAGGCGGCAGCGAGATGAAGAATTAGCGGACGACTTTATGGCCTTGTGAGGACGGGGCGGGGCGGTCTTCGAGGTCGATCAAGTCAACGTTGCCGACGGGGGAAGCGGGAGATGCGGCGTGCGGGATGCGAAGGGGCTGAACAGCGGACTTGTCGCTTGCTGGGGAGGATACGTATGGAGGTGGTTCTTTGACGGAAGGCTGGCCGTCAATGCCGCAAATCCGTGCTGCTGGGTTGCGTGGTTGGATGACCTGGATCGTGACGGCAGGGTTCTCTGAGAAAAGGGCATGCTCCCCGACGTGGAGGAAGGCGAGTTGCGGCGGCGGGAGTCTCCGTCGTTCTGCAATCAATTGGTGAGCGGAGTGCGGAACGTAAAGCCAACAAGGCACGCACCGTTCCGCTCCTTGTCGAAGCGCTCAAGCATCAGTCGGCGGGGAGCAACTTCCCCTCTGAGCACGTCCGCCGCGCCGTTTCCGGCCAGTACATCGACAAGCTTCCGTCGGTGCCCTCCGCGAACTCTTCGAGTGCTTGATACGCGTATTCGCAGCAGATATCTCGAGTCGTGAGCCACAGAAAGAAGTCGTAGCGCGCGTGAAAGACGACTGCGGGTTGGAAAGTCAGTGGAGCAGAACCACGATTCCAGCGAGCGCAAGCTCGCCGCTATAGCCCATCTTGATCGCATGCCAACGATCCGCCAGCTCTCGCCGCGTATTCTCGAGAACATGGCTACCCCGAGCCCCCTCGAGTTGCTTGAGCTTCGTCTTTACGGCACTGAGCTGTTTCAGGACGGTTGCCTCCTCTTTCGCCTTGTTGAGCCAGAAGTCGGGCGGGACTGTGCGCCAGATCAGCTCGAGTTCGAGTGACCAGCGAGGCGCGAGGCCGGGGACGTGCAGCGGGTCGTTCTCGTAGACGAAGCGCGTGAGCTGCTGGGCGAGGTGAGGAGGTACGAGGCCATGTGAGAGCCCTGCTGATGGTCCGCCAGCGTCTCTGGTCGACGGACGGGGCATGAGAGGGAGGTGCGAGTTCGAGGTGCGATGAAGCGATTGGGGCACGAGCGACGAAGCGTGCAAAGTGGTGGCAAGTACGGGAGTCACACAGGTAGTAGGGACACGCAGAACCGGCTAGCCCTCATTCCAGCGAGGTGAGCAAGAGGCGAAGGTGCGAGAGGACGGCGCCAACGCCTCTTCCTCGCTCTCAAGTGCTTGGTACCCGCTCTGCTTCGCCGTCGCTCGCGGTAGTGCGCTCTCTGCGAGACGGGTCTATTGCGAGAGAGGGGATACAACAACGAGAAAGAAGGACGGATGGGGGAGAGACGTCTCAGCCTGCCTTGGCGAAGGAAGACATGCCGCGGAGCTTGGGACCATAGCCTGTGGATGTAGACGAGTCAGTGGATATGGCGAGTAGTTGCGAGGGAAGCGGAGGAGGAACGGACGGTATAGCGCAAACGGCACAAAGCCCAGTGCTGCCGCGATGCAGCCGAGTAGCGTGCAAGCGAAGTTGACCCCGAGATTGTGGAACAGAGGCATGGCGACGAGGGGGAGGGCGGCAGCGAAGATCGAACGAAGGAAGGTGTTGGCGGCGACGGCTGCGAGAGGGGAGTGAGCAGGACTTCTGGGGTTTGGCGTGGCGCAGCGCGCACCTGAAGCTGAATATTGGACATACGCGTCGATCAAAAGGTTAATACCGGCTCTGCGAGTCATTCAGTGGGTCAGCGGCAAGTCGCAGGCAAGACCACGCTGTGGGAGGGGACGACAGACGCACTGGAAGATCAGCAAGAACGCGACTCCCACGAACGCGAGTCCAACAATCTTGCCCGCTACAGGCGCCCATCCCAGGAGGAAGAAGCCGACGGGGAAGACGATTCCGCCGACCATCATCGGTCCAAGGCGCATCTCGGGCGGCGCTGACCCGTGTTTGTCGATGTGCCGGGCGAACACGAAGCGCGAATAGAGGTAGTTGATGAAGGCTATTTTGACAAGATTTGACGAGTTAGGCGCAAAGCAGGAGTCAAAAGCGAGAAGAGGATGAGGAGGGCTGTGAAGCGGAACATACCGGCGATGAGCGTTCCGACTAGTACGGCCAGGAAGGTCATCGAGCTCTGGATGGCCGTCCAGCCGTGTCCTTCCTCGAAGATGATAGGGACGGAGGAGAAGAGGAGATAGAGTGTGCCGTCTGTGCGCGCGAAGCCAATCAGTCAGTCAGACTCTCAGACTCGAAGGGTCAAGCGACGCACAGGTGAAGGAGTTGTAGGTGCAAATGGCGGTCACCATAGGTTCCTTGACTAGCATGAGGATCGGCCGCGTCAAAGTCTTCTCGGCAAAGTGCTTGAGGGAGAAGTCGTTTTCCTCGTCTGCGCACGGAGATCGTCAGCTTAATAAGGGTGGGATGAGTGACTGATGACGCACGCTTGCTATGCAGCGCCCATCGCTTCGTCTCGAAGCGCAGCTTCTTCGCTTTGCGAGTCAGGATGACGGGCGCGAAAGTCTCGGGGACGACGATGACCGAGATCAACCCGACGAATGATGAAAGAATGACGACGAGGTACTGCGTACAGATTCCTTAGCTTCGACGGACGAGTAGGTAGAAGAGGAGCGAAACGAACTTCAGTCCATCTCCAGCCGAGATACGAGACGGTGACGGCGGAGCCAATGACGGGCGAGACGGTCGGACCGGCGACAATTGCGAGACCTGTACACGGTTACGGTAAGCGGATTGAGCACAACGAGGACAGGGAAGCCGGCTTACTGTAGAAGACCACGGCGGTCGCTCTCTCCCTTGCCTCAAAGAGGTCCGCAAGAGCGCCGCCGACTACTGATGGGGCGGCAGAGGCTCCGACGCCAGCTGCAAAGATATAGCGTATCAGCCTTGAGACGAAGGATGATATGTGAATGGTTCTGCGCACCCCAGAAGCGAGTGAGCATGATCGTCTGTAAGTCTTTCGCCGTCGCTGTACCGGCACTGAAGCAGATGAAGGCGAAGGTGCCGACTACGAGCCGATATGTCAGCAGAGATCAGCGTGGGAGGCGGGAAAAGCGGGGACGAACTGAAGATGGTCTTGCGGCCGTAGACTTCGCTCAGCGGTCCAAAGATGATCGGGCCCAGAATGAAGCCGCAGAGAAAGAGCGAGCTGCACAACGAAAGCGTAAGCCACTGCGTCTAAGCGCCGACAAGGACCGTCAACGCACGTCCCGAGCGTCGCGACCTCGGTCGACACGCCAAACTCTGCTGCGACCGCCGGTGTCGCTGTCGAGAAGATCGAGCTGGCAAAGGTCGAGCACATCGTCGTCATGCCGAGCAAAGCGACGAGGAAGTATCGCCGGCGGAACGTCCAGTTCTTGGGGTTTGCGGGGTCGTCCTTCGAGTCGAACGTAACGACGTCGTTCTTCCACTGCCGCGTGACAGGGTCCCTCGATGGTTCTCCTCCACCGCCCTCCTTGCTGCTTCGCCTCTTCTCGCCGTCCTCCACACCAGCACCCTTCCTCGATCTCAAGCCTTTCTCCGCATCGTCGAGCCCGTCGCGTCCTGCGCCGCCGTTCCCGCTCCCACTCGTCAGCGTCCTCTCCTCCGCCTCTTCCTCTCGTCTCCCTGGACCGTCTCCTCCGCCACATCGAATTGACGGCGGAGGCGACGGCAACCTCGATTCGCCCGGCGAATGCGTCGTGTCCTCTCCGCGCAGGACGTACGAATCGATATGATCGAGTACATGGCCCGACTGATAGCGTGTGCGAGGGTTGTCGGGATTTGTTCGCGGAGCGGTGGAAGTGGAGGTCGGGTTCGATGGCGGCGAGGCGAGTGAGTTCCGGCGAGGAGACGGAGGCATGGCCCAGCAAGCGAATGGGCGCGCGTTCCGGCTGTTCAGGCTGGTTCCACGTGTGAAGTGAACTGGTACAAGAGCAGCAACGGCGAGAAGGAAGCGGCGGGCGGAGGACTCGGCAGCGGCGAGTCCAAAGAAAGCGTCACTCCCGCCGAGGTCGGTTCCAGCGCTCCTGCGCCCGTTCCAGCGGTCAACCAGTGCAGTCACAATCCCTGTGAGCGTACTGTGACCCGTTGCGGCTGGTCCCAGCCATTCTTGAGCGTGTCGGCGCCGTTAAAGGCGAGTCGAGCGAGGTCGAGGTGGAGAAGGCGCTGGCGAGAGCAGCTGGCGGTGCGGGAGTCGTTCGAGCGTGTCGGTGTGGCTGTACAACGTGTCTGGCCAGCTTGAAAGGGTCCATCTGCCCCCCCGTCGTCGTCAGCGCGGTGGTCGCCGTCAGCGAGAGGGTTGCTCACTCGTCGACCAGGACCAAACCGCTCGACTCGCTCTTTGCGCTTGCTTGACTGCCTCAGCCGCTGCTCAGAACTCTCTCTAGCTCGACAGAACCCACCCGAAGCGGATCCAGCCAAAGATGGTGAGTCGCTCCCTCCTCACTTCGTCACCAAGCGATGAAGACGCTGACAGCCTCGTCCACCCGCGCGTGCAGTCGATCATGGAGCTCAACGGCGTGAGTCTACCTGTACCAGACCCACAAGCCTCATCGGCACCCGGTGCGAGTCCTCGCCGCTGACCCCCGCTTGCGTGTGCTTCCCCTCTCCCGACTCGCCCATCCACCCCGTCCTTGCGTGCACTTCGAACGGCTCAACGACAGGGTTCGTGCATTGCGATGGTGGGAAAGGGATGCGTGGCAATCGCGTGCGACTTGAGGCTCGGAAACCAGGCTCTTACCGTCGCCTGCAACTTCGAGAAGGTAAGCCGTCCTCTTTCTGCGCTTTACAAGAGTCTTATTGTCGTCTTGTGAGGCTGCGCTTCTGACCGACGAGCCGAGCTGACCGCGAACCGTTCCTCGCAGGTCTTCCCCGCGACAGAACGGACATACTACGGTCTCCCCGGCCTCGCATCCGACACCGTCACCGTGCGCGACAAGCTGCGACACCGGATCAACCTCTACGCGATGAAGGAGGAGCGGACGATCGAGCCTGAGACGTTCTGCCATCTCGTCTCGAGCACGCTGTATGAGAGGAGGTGCGTCTCGACGGGCTCCTTTGCCCGTGCTTGCGGCTGCTGGTACTCGACTACCAGGAGTCGCGGGTGCCGCTGCGAGAAGAGTCGCACTTAACGAAGTTCCTTGCGCAGGTTCGGTCCTTATTTCGTCGAGCCGGTGGTAGCAGGTTTGTTCCCTCCTCTCCGACTTGTCCGTAGGACTCTTAACTTACTCTTCGTCTCAATGCAGGCTTGAACTCGAAGGACGAGCCATTCATTGCGGCGACGGACTTGATCGGGTGCATCAACTTCGCGAAGGTGCGTCAGCGGAGTCCGCCCGTTACGCTGCGCATTGGCTGACCAAGCTTGCATCTCACTCTCCTTTCTCCTCGTCGCCCCGGCTTCGCGACTCGCAGGACTTTGTCGTCTCGGGCACAGCGTCAGAGAAGCTATTCGGCATGGCCGAGTCCCTCTGGGAACCCGATCTCGAGGCGGACGACCTGTTCGAGACGATTTCGCAGACGCTGCTCAACGCGGTGGACAGGGATGCGTACTCGGGATGGGGTGCGGTCGTGTGGATCATCGAGAAGGTGAGTCTGCCTGGCTGGGCGTGTCGACCTCCCTCGCATTGTAGCGGGCGAAGCGCCGAGACTTCCTCTCAAACATGCCGGCTGATACTCTCCCGCTCACAGGACAAGGTGACGAAGCGGTGGCTCAAGGCTCGCATGGACTAGACGTCTCCTCTTCTTCCTCCCTCTCGCATCGCTCCTCCCCTTCCCTCCTCGCCTGTAGACACGCTAGCGGAATCGAGGGGCGAATGTACAACCTTCACAATCACCCTCTCATGCGTTTTAACTGCCAAAGAGAGCCTTGAGGGAGACTCCGCCTTGTCCGTCTCCCGTCCCGCAGCTTGACCTCGTCCACCTCGCTCCCATCCAGCTTGCGCTCGTTTCGTACATTCCACACGCTTCACAGAACAGAAAGGCTGCATGTGCTGCACCGCGCCCGGATCCCGGCATCTTTCACGGGCTCGATGAGGACCCACCAGACGAGGCGGAACGGAGCAGCTTTCTCGAGTCGCAGCGGATCACGGGCGGTATAAGCTGCGGTGGACTAGCACTGGATGAGTCTCGCTTGCTCAGCACTCTTACTGCCAGCCCGCGCAGCGGTCTGGCGGAGGACGAGGAGGACGGCTTCGCTCGACAAGAACGTCGGACTGGCGCAGTCGCGTGCGGGATTGGCTAGACTGCTTGCACGGGCTGCGTCGACTCCGTTGCGACCTGCAAACTCTCCCCGGGACGAGAACCGCGGAGGAATCCGGCTCCCTTCTCCTCCTCGCACGCTCACCGTTCCTCTCGCGCGGTGCGGCGCACGGAGCGGTCTCGGCGGTCGCAGAGCGCATTGAAGAAGGACAAGGGCTCACCGGAACGCGACCGGAACGCCTGCTATCGCCGTCGACGCTGGCTTCATGCTGTTCGAGGCGGCCCAAGCCTCTCTTGGCCTCCTAAGCGACGACCGCACTACGCTGGGATGGCTGTACGTCCTCGACAACGACAGATGGACGACTGTGCAGGTACGACGACGCGTCTTTGTGCGTCTTCATCCACCTCGCCTTTGCCACTCTTCCCACGACGTCCTCCTCCTTGAGATCCGCCAACGCGACTCGCAGGACGAGATCCCGGCTTGACAGGGGCCGCCGGGATTGGCGAACGACCTCTGCTCGCGCTCTCGCAACCTCTCTCTCCCTCCTTCCCCTCACTCGCTCCCTTCCCTCTTCCCTCGACGAATCCCCCCTCGACAGTCACCCGCCTCGCTCCTCGCCATGCACCTCTCCATCCTACTCTCGCTCGTCACGACAGCTCTTCCGCTCGCCCTCGTCGACGCCGCCCCTGCGCCTGCCGCCGACGTCGCCTCGACCGACTCGTACCGCGACGACGGGCACTGCGGCGGAGGAGGCGGGTACGGCGGGAAGGTCGACGACTGGGGTCGCTGCGGCGGAAAAGGATACACGGGTCCGACTGAATGTGCGTCGTCGCTTTCCCTTCTCCGCTCGGCTTGGACGTCGAGCCGCTCCTTCCTCTCCGTCTCGCCCTCTCGCTCGTCTCCTTTGATGCTTGCTTGCCCTCAAGCTGACTCCGCTCGCTTGCGGCCTCGCAGGTAAGGATGGATTCTACTGCAAGCTTTGGTCCGAGTGGTACTCGCAGTGCATTGAGAAGCCGCACCCGTATCCTCCTCCGCCGAAGACGACAATCTCCACGACGACCTGGGCGCCGTACCCGACATACGTTCCCGGCGGCGGCAAGTGCAATTCGTGGCAGAAGTGTGCGTCTTCCTTTCGTTCTCCTTCGTTCCGACATGAGCCTGACAACCGCTCGCTTTCATCGCAGGCGAATCCGGCTTCACTTGCGTGAAGGGCCACTGCGTGAAGGATCACAAGACCTCGTCGACCACCTCCTACAAGACCTCCTCGACCTCGAAGACGCCCTATCCGACGCACAAGCCGCAGTGCTGGTCCGACAAGCAGTGTGCGTTTTCTCGCTCCTTCTCGCGCTCCTCTCCTCGCTCCTCATTCTCTCGCTCGTACCTTCGCCTCCTCCGCTCTGTGATCGCGAGCTGACGTTGTTCTTCGCT